ATCCTCGGGCCTCGTTGTGCTGAACTGCGGTACAAACCTCGATGAAGAGGGGTTGCACACCGGCTACAATGCAACGCGGGGTTGCACACCGGCTACAACGTTGTAGCTTCGTTACGCTGTTGAGCAGCGTCTCTCGGACTTGCTCAGATAGCTTTCATAAGCATGCAAGTTTGTAACGGCACAACAGTGTTGGTGGCGAATGCTCTGCCGCCATGTCGAGCAGGCCAGACTAGGACGGAACCTCGATGCAAGCAGAGAGGTCGGAAGGGCGCCGATCGTTCATCCTGCATCAATGTAAGACTTGAGTCCAAGGTTCCTCCTTGACCATGCAATGTCGTGCAAGCATTCTTTGGCGATCATGTGCTTCAAAGATAAGTTGCAAAGTGCTCATTGGCATCTCGCCAGGCCGGCTTGCGCATGCAATCTGCTGCGGTGCATATGACTTAATAGGGGCGTTCGGGATCAGCGCATCCGTGCGTCATGGTTTGTACGCTCGTGCATATCTCTTTCAAGTAAAGCTCTTCTGCCACCCAAACTGAACTGCGAAGCCTCTTGTACACTCTGCATTAAGACGAACGCCACGCAATGAACTAGGACCGACGTACCGAGAGCTTTCTGTGCGACTTATCAGCATGCAGGTCTTGACGTCGTTAGAGTCGAGCGCTCAGTGAGTGCAAGAAGTAAAGCTGTTGACGAACGTGATGCAAGACTTGTGCTTTGCTTCCGGACACGAGCTAGCTAGTAGGATCAACAACGATCGAGTCTGCAACATCATGATTAAGACTCCGACCAATCAATTCGTCCGCATATGGAGATTTGTGAATACGTAAGCACTTGCATGATAAGCTCGGAAAGCAGAGCGAGCTATAGAGCTGCAGCCAGTAACCATCCTATCAACTAGACGCCTGTACGCCCAGAGAAAAGCATTGAGCCTGGCCGGCTTCCATGTGCATTTAATGTAGAACGACCGGCAGATAACCAATAGCACCCTTTAGCTGACCATGACCGGTGGTACGTGCGAGCAGAACGTTACGAAGCAATCAAAAGATGCCTCAGCTGCTACGCAACACATGCGGGGTTCGGCTTTTGTCATGTGCTTTGAAAGCAGGTACACCGTATAATCACTAATGATCAGGTTGCCACGTGGGCGGCAAGGATCTGGGTGGCGCTTCAAGGCTTAAAACTACTTACAGACCGTCTCTTTATAATATGAACTGAAGGAGTCGTCTAACATTATTTCGGACTGCTTTGTTTTGATAACTACAGAAGACCTAGCTAGCAGTGCATGCTTATCAACGGACAAAGCGTCTGCACAAGTATGTGCAACCTTGGCAGCCAACAAATCTATGGTACACTTAGAAGGACTTTCATCAAACGATATAACCTCCTTACAAAACATCCGTGTCCCTTTCTCAGACATCTTCGCCCAGCTCTTTCACTTGTGTGAGGATGAAGTGGAGGAGCGACAACCGCTGCAAGATCAAAAGATAAAATTTAAGCGCCCTGAAAGGAGGGAGACAAAACATTATCACCTCATGTATCCCATCGCTTCTCCCAGATTGACGCTCCAGAACCGGTTCGCAATCGACGTTCACCGAACGTTTCAAGAGAGCCCCAAGACATCATTTCAATTCTCTCGATGAACTTATGCCTGGCTAATCAATGAGGTCCGAACGGTTCACATCCTCCAAGCAAGCATGTCAGAAGCCACCGCTTGATTTCACGTAGACTCGTTCATTACTGTGAGCCGTTCCGGGTCTTGAGAACCTTTAATTCGAATGAAGAAAGGTAAGCCGATTACCTTCTGCTCGATGGCTCCACTGTACGTGTCTCGCTTCTGCCCCAGCTCTGCCGCCAGCTTTGCACCTTCCCGGAAATGCGCCACTGCAGCCTTGTCCTTCTTCGAAGCACGGTCCAAATCAGCAACTTTCGTGAAGGACACCACCAGATCGAGGACCTGCAAACGGCATTCCGATCAGCCTCTTTTACTGGTTCTCAGACTTTAATCCCCCTCCAACAACAGCGTCGAAGATTCCAGAAACAACTTTCGTGCGATGAAAAGAACAGGAGGAGAGAACCGCTCGTCCTCAAGCTAAGCGTGTTGAATCAATGAAAGGAAACGGCTTCGACTGCACTCGAAGTCCGATATAATTCTGTAGTACGCCATGTTTTTGTGCAAAAATGAAGGGCGATACGAGTACAAGCCGTCCTGATGGTTGAAGTCCTTCTCGACCTCTTTCCGGATCCTTCAGATTGTGTGCTTGGATGAGCGCTGAGATGGATTACCTCTGATGCCGTTGCATCCGCGGTGTGAGCACTCTGTCGCAGCTGCAATGCACGCAGATATTCTATCCGTGCTTCATCTGCGCGCTTCGCAAGGTAGTGCAGGTCACCCAGCTTGTTGTACGCCACAGAAAGGTCGTGAACAACCTGGAAAGGCAATCATGCCGAGATTGTGAGAGAGGCAAACCACGATTGCCGGCATGACAGGTGCGTGAACCAGATGTTAGGAGTAAGAAGGCCTGTTGAACAATGAAAGACGAACTGTCGTATATTATTAGAAATCTGACAGGCCCGGAATCCGATCACACTTGAAGGACCGCACATTGCGACAGAGAAAAGCTTCCAAAGAGTCTCCTTTGCATGACAACTCTGAAGATGAATGTTGACTGGACTTCCATTCCGAACTGTGAAGAGATTACCAGAGTTGGAGAAGCAGCTTGAGCAAGACGACCTCTCCTTTTGAAACGTCATCGACCTTGGTTTAATTACATGAAGTGGACCAGACGACAGGCTATGTACTTTGACCAAGGTCGCAGTAGAAGGGCGTCTCAGCAGTCGTACCTCGGCATTCTTCTCTTCCACGAGTTCCAGCCATTTTGCGCTGTCTCGATATGCAGACTCCGCCTGCTCAAGGTCCTGAGAGCCTCTGCTAAAGTCGCCGAGGGCAGCCATCACTGCACCGAGCTGACACAAAACTTTCGTTGAAACCCCCTCCTCAGCAAGAGCAGTCCTCAGATCTTCTTCGCACAACCTCAGAAGATGGATCGCACTTTCGTTATTCCGCCCTGCGTAAGCCTGCAATGTGGGACCAAATGTCAATCCTTGAGTTCCAAAAACAAAAGGGACATTCGAAGATACAAATCACAATCAGCCTGGCAGGAGAGCCGCTCAGAGAAACATTGGAGAGAGTTGCGCCTGTCAGAAGCGAGCGCAATCACACAAGCGAATCCTCCAAGTCTAATCTGTACCTGTGGGATCATCACTGGGAGCACGATTGCTCTTGCTTTGAAAGGCGCACATCTTTTGGAATGTTCTAGATTGAGTTCACCGACCCCTGAGGTTCAAATTGTTCTTCAGCAGGCTGCATATTGCTCTTTCAAGCACAGCAAAGTTCGAAAGAAACTGTGGGGGTGGTATCCAATGCAGAAATCGGCTGAAGAACCACAACATACATCCTTGAATACTTTGTGGATGTAAGAGAACAGCATTCGAAGACATTAACCGGCGAGTCTGCAAACTCACCCTCATCGCCAATTGTAATAGCAGGCCGCCCTGTTCAAGCGATAGGTCCCCGGTTTCCGAATCCCGTTTCGGAACCTCTGCTTCTGCAAAGCTTCGTCCGGCTTCCTTCTCTGCCACCTTCACGTCATTCTGCGGTGCTTTCCTTTTCCTTCTTGCATACTTCTCAACAAAGTAGCGGACGTTCTGATCCAGCATCCGAGTCTCATCATCCTGCTCCAGAGCCCTACATTCACCACCGCACAACCCACAGGAACCCAATCTGAGACAGCAGCTGTTGCAGAACATATGCCTGCATGGCAAGATCCGCACAGTCTTGAAGAGCAAAGACTTACAGACGAGACAGGTCAAGGGGCCAACTTTGACTGTGTCTGCATCATAGCCCATTGGACACTTTGGTTCCGAACTCTGGCCCTCAACCCGGGCTTGCTCTTCAACCAAGCCGTGCCCATCAAGGGCCAGTGTATCTAAACTGTCGGACAACTCTGCAGCCTCTTTGCTGGGCCCCGAGGGTTTTGGTTGTGCACCAAATCCAAAAGGACACCTGCCCTCCATGTTGCTCCCATGCGCAGCTGGTTCTGAAACCCTAGGCTTAGCTGAACCAAATCCATACGGGCACTGGCCAGGGGCTGGCTGTTCTGAAGAATGAACGGCTGCAGGACGGTCTGAACTCTCCTTCCTTGATGTCTCGCCATGCAGGAAAGGGCACTTGGCTACGCCCTGGTCCATCCTTGTGGTGAATAGGTAAACCTTTCAGCAGTGTTTTGCTAAAGCTAGAACTTTTCTTGGCGGTCCGTGGTGGTCGCCGTGACGCCTTCTGCATCCACGTTGTCTAGGTAGCCGCCCTGGTCCAGGATTCAGGAACAAGTTTGAAGCCTGAGGCAGTGAGGGGATTCCTCTGCCCAGCCTTGCCCCTTCCTGCTAATCGACGACAATTGTGCCCGGGACACCATTTTCCGTGTCCGAATGCTTTGAAAAGGGCCTTGCAAGATCGAAAAGCGATTACAGCATCTAGTACAGTATAGCGCATACTGATTCGACGGGTGTCCGAACCCTGATGAGAATCCGGACCCCGGCTGGTCCCAAGCCAAGGTCAAACCTCAGCCTAGGATGGCGTTTGGAAGCTTCGACTCGAGAGTCGACTCAGGCCAATGCTCTCGGACTCGGAGGGCAGAAGACAAGCGCAGGCAATTTGCATCGAGGGCGATGGCTGACATGATGGTCGAGGAACTTTAGCCTTAGGCCAGTGCGATTGGGACTCCCCGAAAGGAGAGTCGATGTTTTGTGCACTGCGAAATCCTGTTTGTGCTCCAGTTATTCGTGGAACAGACAACGGATCTGTGGATGCAAAGTGAGGGGTGCGCAACCGCCACGCAGAGTACTTCAACAAGACCAGAATACGTCGTAGGCTTAATTGTACACATCAGGGAGAGGTTCTCATCTTCAGATGCTTGACTTTACCCATTCCGTCATCCGCACCCCTCAGGAGAAGACACGCCTTACATTAGTCAAGAAACTGGGCTCATCACAAACTGAGTAGGTGGCCATTGCAAGGTAGCGCTTATGCGGTGTTCCTGGGGCTTCGCTTTCTAAGTGTCTGCAAGAGCCCAGTCTGTGCTGAGGATGGATTGGTTTGACAAACTCATTGATAGGTTCATCCCTAAGAAGCCTTTTGGAAGGCAGAGGCTGCATGTGGATGTAGGGAGTCCTCGAGCAGCTTCGCTGCAGAGGGCTATGAGCATGAGTTCATCACCTTATCAGCCAGCGCACCGCACGATACCGGTCAACGATCGCTCTCCGGGCACGCCATCCCCATTCAAGGTATAGATTCTTACCCACCAAATGTTCGACATGAAGCTGCTCTGATTGTGCAGATACACGCAAGTGGCAGCAGATATGTCAACCATTCTGGAGATTCGATCTCCTCAAGGTTTAGGGTTTTTTCTGTGGTGGTGAATACACGTATGGTCTGTAGTGCTCCCGAGATTCTTGGCCGTCCTGGGGAGTCACAGAACTCAAAATGAAGTCTTTGGAAGTGAATTGACCAGTTCAGAAGCTGCTCATTGGAGTGATTGCTCGTGCTTTCTGGCTCTCAGCTCGATTGTGTGGCAGACCATTGCGCACTTTGTTTTTCAGGGCAACTCGGTGTCAACGACGAAATACAATGTTGTCACGTTCCTTCCCAAGGGGCTGTTTGAGCAGGTGAGTCTTGCTTGGATACTTGGCCCCAGATGTTGTGCGCTTGTTGGAGCTAAGGCTGTTGCTTGATAAGGCAATCCTTCGCTGCTCTTGTTGTGAGGTCCTGGATATGAGCATCCGCTTACGTGGGCAAATTTTGTCTGGATAGGCTCACATACCGCACGGGAATCACTGCTGTACTTGAATTGCTTGCAAGGTTCATAGCGGTTCTTGTCGTGCAGTTCCGGCGGGTTGCAAATCTGTACTTCTTGGTCATTGCAATCCTTTCGGCGACCCCTATCAGGTAGGCGGAACGCACTCAATCGTGTGTACTTTTGCATTGGACGACGAGTTGCCCATTAGAAGTTGAACAAGTGCGTTAAGATGCTGCTCTAAAACTCAGGCGATTGCCAATTCAACGAGAAGCCACCGGTAACACTGCTTCCAAATGTTTGGCACTTGGCTGCTTGGAGCAGCCTGCTGGATTCGCTGGTTACATTGAAAAGCTCGTCGGGTGATCCATTTCGAGTGGTTCCAGTGTCGGGTCATCTTGAGAAGCTGAAAGAACAACTCAACTTCCTTAAGAAACACATGTTGGTGGAGCCTTGAGGATTCATACTTATCTTTTCCTATATTGCAGCCCCGTGAATCCCCTCACAAACATTGGGCCCCTGATCTTAGTGCTGGCAGTCTCGTTAACGAAGGAAGCGTTTGAGGACCGGGTAACTTCCCAAAGCACAGGCCTTCTGCCGCTGTTGTTCACCAGCTACATCTCATGCGGATGAGTGGTACAACTGAATGAGTCGATCTTGGATTTTGCTTGTGCCTTGTCTATCTATCGTGTAATTTGGACCAAATGGTACATGTTTTTCTGCGATTTGACGCTTGCACGGTACAACTTCCAGTTGTCAGCGTTGAGACCCGAAGCTATGTTATTGTCTACTTGTAGAGTCATACTGTCTGTTCTGGAGCTGAGTTGCCAACAACGTGCTTTGCAGAAACGTTACAAGAGCGATAAGATCATCAACGCAAGCTTGACTGAGGTTCTGAGAGGACGGGAGTGGGTACAAATCCCTTGGAGTGCACTTACAGTCGGGGATGTTGTGCGGGTAAGCAGTTCAGGCTTGGGGCTTCGAGAACTTTTCCACTTTAATCTGTAAGCTCTTTGATCGGGGTGCCTCTCTGGAATCTGTACGCGGCATGTCCTGACTTTGGGGCGCTATGTCACCGTAAAGATGGTTGATGGTAAAGAAGTCAGCTTTAGAGAACAACCTCAATCCTGATCCTTGAAGCACTTCTAGATCTAACTCGAAACTACCCTAGACCTCTCCAGGAGCACAGGCTGCCTCTGACTAACGTTTGTTTACTGACTGTTTGACAACTCTTCTTGGTCAGGTGAAGAATGACACCTACTTCCCGGCTGACATGATCTGCCTGGCCACGACGAACCCGGATGGAATCTGCTATGTTGAGGCGAGTCGTTCTTACGAAGTTTGCTGCTCTTTCTCAGTGACGGCAGAAACTTCTAGGGAATAGCATACTTGCTGTCCAGTAAGAGTAAGCTACGTTGATCTCAAACCCGTTCTGTGGGTGTCACTTCCATGCTGGTCCGTCTACCCGGCTTCATCTAAGAACTTCTATGTTCACTTTCATGGAGCCAGCTCCACAGTTTCTCGAGATTCTGAAAGATTGCAGGGTGGAAGCTCCTCCTTACATGAGCGCATGGTCTGTGAGAGTTCTTCTCCGAACGAAGTGACGGCTTCATGCGCAGAATGATCGATTTGAAGAGTTGTGGTGCCAGTTCCGAGAGGCTAGTTCTTTGTGAAAGTGAGAGCTGAAGGGAATGTGATTCTCACTTCCTTCCTTTCGTCGGTATCCCTGTCACTCCCTGACCCCGCTCGTTTACGATTCGCAGACGATGAACCTGGACGGCGAGACGAATTTGAAGATTAGGAAGGCGATGGAACGGACTTGGGAGTACGTCACCGCAGAAGCGGCGGCCGAGTTCAAGAACGCGGCCATTGAGTGCGAGCTGCCCAACAATTCGCTGTACACCTTCGTGGGGAACCTGATGGTCGGCAAGCAAGTGCTGCCGCTGTCGCCGAACCAGATCCTGCTCCGGGTGCGCTTCCTCTCACACCTATATTTTCAAACCAATCCTCAAAACCGCACCGACCAGAATTTGCGAAAGACTAAAAGGTTTTTCTCTTCGAAGACCGCGTGAAGAATTTATTAAGGCTTGAGACGGCTTTCTTGATGACATGCTCCTGCCTGATCGGTTTCCTGCGGGCACTGTGAGATGTCACCAGCTTTGAAAGGAGTCGTAAGACATTCCGTAATTGTATCGGTTGGTTCGAATGCAGGGTTGCAGCCTCCGGAACACGGAGCACGTTGTTGGGGTGATAATATTCACTGGGCACGAGACGAAGGTATGTCCGCAGTCTGGATGACGATTCTCAAAGCGTAGAGTGCATAATTGTCACGGCAATGACAGCAAAGTCGGCGCCGTTGGAGTTGATCCTTTTTTGATCAAGGAGTCTGGATGGAGGGCGTTTCCAGTTCTAACGTACTTGTCCTGCGGGCGAAGCTTTGAACTGAATATACTGTTGGTTGTTCATTTGACTCATCCAGCTGACCTCAAGTTCTACGAAGAGTATTCTTCGGTATCGACTCGGATGGTCTTAGCTCTACTACTCTCTGGCGTCAATCTAGCTAGGAATCAAGAAAGATAATAATCAGCCGAGATAATGATAAGATAACCGCACTGGCCGGGTAGGGTTAGTTTGGTGGTTAGGGTGGGTACGGGTGCGGAGCAGGCATCGTTTTTGGCTTCAGGGTTTTAGTGTCAGTCGGAGCTTGTTATTATCTTGGCATACTACTATCTTTCTTGAGAATTATTTAATCTGATGGTCTTAAGCCCGTCCATCTGCAAATGGATGTCACGCCGGACCTCAGCACAGGTATCAACAGGCGCCTGGTTTCAGCCGTACTTTCGAACTGCAGGTGATGATGAACGCCATGGATGTGCCGTCCAAGCGCAGCACGCTTGAGAAGAAGCTCGACAGGCTCATCATCACCCTCTTCATCGTCCTGTTCGCCATGTGTTTCATTGGCGCCGTTGGCAGGTGAGCACATTGTACGAACTGTTTCTCTCGTACATTTCCAAATCGAACTTACCATCGATCCATATCACTGGATGATCCAGGCTGAAAGCTGATTTATACCTATGGATTGGGGGACTTCTTAGCGCCGCGACTATACTTTCTGGGCATCTTAACAACTGCCGGCTTTCTGTGCTGTGACCCTCAGATTGGATTCAGTCGGTCCCTTGGACGAGTCAGCTTCCTGGGACCAGTTGGACAGGTCTGCACTCTATCTCTCAATCGTTCTGTATGCATCTCACGAGATATTGCGGCTTCAAGGACTGGCTAAAGAAGCAGACGTGCGAAGATATCTCCTTACGCGCTGCGTTTGTTTCCTTTGCAGTGCCCTCTTCGTCGACGACAAGCAATGGTACTTGAGGATGAGGAGCGCGGATGCGCAGTTCAACCCGAAGAACCGCTTCTTTGTGAGTGCAGTACCCCTTAAGCAGTTTGCTCAAGCTTTGGTCCCTGACCTAGATTCCTTGAAGAACAGACACCTCCGTTGAGATGCACGGATTTTCCGTCGGGCAAGCGAGACGGGAGAACAAAAGGGGGCGGCAAAGACCATGTTGTTGGCCGGGAGGTCTGCGCGCCCACTTTACGAGGCCCTAGTTTGCAACAGAGCTGTTTTCGCTTCTGGTGGATCAGTAGCAGGCTGGAAGTAATGTCCACAGGAGGCAGCTCAAGAAGCCGGCGAGTTCTTAATGTTGCATCTTTGCAACTCAGTCCTCGTGCTACTCTTGTGAGCAGATAGCCACAGCATTGGAGAGAATTTCTGAGAGACAACCTTCTTTTTGCAGGTCTTCTTGCTTACATTTCTCACGCTGGTCACCCTCTACTCGACCATCATCCCCATCTCCCTCTATGTGTCAATCGAGGTGAGCTCGACTGTTCGCTTCGACCTGATATCGCTACATAAAAGGTGGTCACTGGGCAAATGAAACCTTTTTCACAAGCAGGGAACTTGAATGTAGCAGTTTGTCTTGTTGAGTACTCGCCAGCTAAAGGATTTCGCGAACGTAGCAGCTTTGAACCGAACGGGTTGAAAGGCGGCACTAACTTTTGAAACGTGTCAAGCGTTTGGAACTCCGCTCCTCTCTTGATCTGCTTTTTAGTCGGCCCACTTATTTGAAGATCATTCTGCGAACCGTTCCTTTCGTCCCTCTGTCTCAAGCAAGAGATCCCTCGCTGCTCGTCTCTGACTGTCCCAAATCCAAACGAGCTGTTCGTTGCTGACCCGTTCCCAGTTTGCATTCCCTTCCGGTCTCAGACGTTCTTGCCTGTGCTTTCGACCGAACTATCTATATGTTACCCCGTGTTTTCCGGACGCTTTGAGCTGACAACGTTGAACAATTGTTTCTCCCAGATGATCAAGTTCATCCAGTCGACCCAGTTCATCAACAAGGATCTCAACATGTACCACCGCGAGTCGGACACGCCCGCGCTCGCGCGGACATCCAACCTGAACGAGGAGCTCGGACAGATTGAGTACATCTTCTCGGACAAGACCGGCACGCTCACGCGCAACCTCATGGAGTTTTTCAAGTGCTCCATCGCGGGAGTGATGTACGGAACCGGAGTCACGGAGATTCAGCGAGCGGCCGCGGTGCGCACAGGCATCGAGTTGGAAGAGTTGGTGCCGTCGGGCGCGCGCGTGCAGGAGAAGGGTTTCAACTTCGAGGACCGGAAGCTGATGAAGGGGGCGTGGCGGGCGGAGCCGGAGGCGGAGACAATCAAGGTACGGCAGCTTTTGAATCTTGCCTTGGGATCATGGTGTGTAAGGATTTGAGACCTCGACTGATGGAGGTCGTGTTTCTGTTGTGGCTTCGTTTGTGTGCATTCTAGGCTTGAGAAAGATTCTGTGCGAGCAGACTGCACGTGGTTGACGGCCCTATCTTTCGAGTCAGCTAGCTGAACGGATATTCTGACCAGCTTTCTGTCCGATCATGGGAAGAGTTGCCATCCTCCAAGCCTAAAAGCATCTGGGTGTGTTGCAAGCATCTTGTCCCTCCTTGCATCTCTCGTCTAGCATCTCTAGAATTGTGGGCAGTTGCGGAGGGTTTCTGTTCATTTCGACCAAGCGAATTCAACGACTGTCCTTGTGAAGGGACCTGTTGACTAAGCTGACTCTGCTCCGTCATCGCTCTCTCGATCTGGTGGCGATCTAGCCTCCCATTGTAATCATCATCCTCGACCTTGCAGGAGTTCTTCCGATTGCTGGCGATCTGCCACACAGTCCTCCCTGAGGGGGGGGACACGCCCGACTCCGTTGTGTACCAGGCCGCGTCCCCCGACGAGGCGGCGCTCGTGGTCGCCGCCAAGAACTTCGGCTTCTTCTTCTACCGGCGCACGCCGGCTACGATCCGTGTGCAGGAGTCGCACGTGGAGAAGCTGGGGCGCATCCAGGACCTCGAGTACGAGGTGCTCAACGTGCTCGAGTTCAACAGGTGAGTAATCTGGAGTTTTAGGAGTGGGGAGTTACGGCGTCTCAGGGATCCCCGGTTTGAGACTTTTGCAGTGAAGAAGACGGTTGCCGCTTCACAGTCTGCCAATCGCCGCAAGCGCTGTCTCTCGTGTTCAATCTTCGTAAGTTCAGAGCGCAAGAAGACCAGTAAAAACAGTTTACTTCGAGATTTTACTCGAGCCATAAATAGCCAAGTTGCAGCTCAGATGTGTAGGGCACCTATATAAGCGCGTGGCTGAAGCAGCAGCAAAGATAAGCATGGAGTAAACTTTCTTTCTACAGAACACGCAAGCGCCAGCCCGTTTTCTGCTGGCATACAAGTCTTGAGTCGTCGCCGATCTCACCGCTCAACAAGTAATTTTCTGCATGCCCACTTTATTTCAAGTCGACCCTATACAGAAGCCCAACTTCGTCATCTGCAGCACGCGCAAGCGCCAGTCCGTCATCTGCCGGCACCCCTCCGGCCGCCTCGTGCTCTACTGCAAGGGCGCCGACACCGTCATCTACGAGCGCCTCGCCGCGAACGGCAACAAGTACGCTGACATCACGCGGCGCCACCTGGAGTCGTACGGCGCGGACGGCCTCCGGACGCTCTGCCTCGCGTATGCGGACCTGGACCCCAACTTTTACGAGGAGTGGAACGAGAAGTTCATCGCGGCGAAGAGCTCGTTGCGGGACCGGGAGAAGAAGCTAGACGAGGTTGCAGAGCTGATTGAGAAGGATTTGATACTTTTGGGTGCGACGGCGATCGAGGATAAGCTGCAGGAGGGGGTACCGCAGTGCATTGAGACGCTGCGGCACGCGGGTATCAAGATCTGGGTGCTCACGGGGGATAAGCTGGAGACGGCGATCAACATCGCGTATGGTGAGTAGGACGTGTGCTTTTTTCGATGTGCGTTTGCTAGCCCAGGGACTGGATTTGACCAGGCAATGTGGGGAGGAGCGGTGGGTCTTTGATCGCGTCCATTCTCCTCCTCGGGGTTACGAAGTGGTCACGAACGCTGGTGTTGAGAAGCTGGAAGTCGGCGATGAATTGTGCTTGGTGGTCGGACGAGCACCATCTATTTGATATTGATGACTTGGCTTCGGGTGCTGCTGAATGAACTCTAAGATTGCCTTTGCCTATGGGTATCATACTGCCGGTATGACAATCGCAAATATTCGAGCGGTAAAGCATCGCCTAATTCCAAAAGCTCGTTCCAGGTGGTAATGGTCATAGAAAGAGCTCTAGACTCGTGCAATTTTGGACTTCGTCCTCAAGCTTGGACATCAGAACATTTCCGAACACGAGACCTTTCATACCCTCTTCCTCCCGACTTCATGTCTTTCGTAGCCCTGTCATGCATCCTAAGTTGGACTTACACTCCTACAGCCTGCAATCTGCTCACGAACGACCAGAAGAAGTTCATCGTCAGCTCGGAGACGAATGAGATTCTGAAGGCCGAAGAGGAGATGAGCCCAGCTCAGGCGATGGCGGTCATTAAGGCGAACGTCAGAAATGCACTGGTGGATGCCCTCCGGCAAGCGCAGCGGCACGCGATTGCAGATGACGGAATGGTACGTTTCGTGGTTTGTGCATGCTTGTAAGTCAGTTTCATTCGAGCAAGGGTCACTGGATTGAGAGGGAAACGCGTTGCCCTCGTTCTGGAGCTGGTGTGCTTGCAACAGGTCAAAGGCTGAAGGTCATTGGAATCTTCAGGGGTGCATTTTCCCACAAAAATGCATTCGGAAGGAAACGTGAAACGCAAAACGCGGAGATGGTATTGGACCGAGCGGTGCTGGATCATGACTGGGGCCCTTTCTTGCTTCAAACCTTCCGGGCGTCAGAACATCTCGACTTGATAGTAGTCGAGCAAAGCAACGGCAGAGGCAAGGGAGCTGACGTAGTCCATAAAAAGGATTCAGGAGTTTGACTGCAACTTTACTCTTCTACTGCAGGAGTTGGCGCTGGTCATCGATGGCAAGTGCTTGATGTACGCGTTGGACCCCGCCCTGCGAGGGACCCTGCTACACCTGGGGATGCTCTGCAAGGCCGTCGTGTGCTGTCGAGTGTCCCCTCTCCAAAAAGCGCAGGTAAGCCTGGCGGATGTGATTCAATGGCAGTTAGCGGAGGGAGTCTGATAGAGTTTCGTTGTGCAGAGGTGTCTTTTTATCCGGACTGTGCAGACGATGGCAGGCGCGGACATTTGTTCAAGCTTGTTGAAGGTGTTGGACATTTCGTGCCGTCGGTTCAACTTGAGGCCCAGTAGCTTGCTGCGGAGGCGAACAATCTCAACCTAAGGTTTTCCTGAAGTTCAGGAAGGAGTACTAGTCTAATCTTGTCGATTGCACCAGCCTTGAGTGAGCCCCTATGGCTCACGAAGAGTCTCAATCAGGACTCTCTTTGAGAATCTGGTAGCAATCAAGCCATGGAGTGACCGTGAAAACCTTAAGGTTCTTGATCCGCGAACCAAATGAATGTAGGCTCTTGTTTGGAGAGCTTCTTGGCCTCTTTTGCAAGATATGTGTGTTCTGTCCTCAGGTGACGGCCCTCATCCGGGACAACGCGGGGAAGATCACGCTGAGCATCGGCGACGGCGCCAATGACGTCAGCATGATCCAGGCGGCGCACATCGGGGTGGGCATCAGCGGGCAGGAGGGCATGCAGGCGGTAATGGCCAGCGACTTCGCCATAGCGCAGTTCCGCTTCCTGACGGATCTTCTTTTGGTGCACGGCCGGTGGTCGTACACACGGATTGCAAAGGTAGGCTGTGTAAACCGACCTTATATCTCACACACTCACGGTCTAGATGTCGCTGGGCTTCGGACCCCTGTTGGCCGAACGAGCTCTCGCTCCTTGACAGAACTCCTGTCACACCGTGGCCTATGGCCCTATTTGCGGTCGCAGAGGTACGTCTGCTTCACAAGGATGTAACATCGATGACTCGACGGAGAGGTTCTCCTCTTGTAACAAGCTCCTGTTGGGGACAACTTTGGAATGATATTTATGCGCAGCTCAACTTACTTTCGATCATTCATCCGCAGGTGGTGGGCTGAGTTTATCAACAAGAACGTCGCGTTCATGTCGACTCGGTTCTACTTATAAGCAGCTAAATAGTTCCCCTGACTGCTCACTGTCGTGCGGGATAGTTCTGTGCCCTGCGGAACACTTTTTGTGCGCAAGTCGTTAAACGCTCACCTTCGCTGTCCAGGTGGTTGGCTACTTTTTCCACAAGAACATTGCGTTCATGTGGCCCAGGTTCTAGTCATAAGTAGCCAAATTATCCTTCCTAAATGTGCGCTGTCTTGCGGGACAATTCTGTGACCGCAGAATGCTTTAAGTGCGCAGCTGACGTCATCTTTCCTGTGCAGGTGGTTGGTTACTTTTTCTACAAGAACATCGCGTTCACGCTGACCCAGTTCTGGTTCAACATGTACACCGGCTACTCGGGCGAGCGCTTGTACGACGACTGGTACCAGTCGCTCTACAACGTCGTCTTCACCGCGCTGCCCGTCATCGTCGTAGGCATTTTCGACCAGGTGAGGACTTCGCGCTTCTGAGTTTGGGGTTTGGGGTTTTGGGGTTTGGGGTTTGGGGTTTGGGGTTTGGGGTTGGGGCTCGGGGCTTTTGGGTATCAGTTGCTTGGCGAGGTGGTTTTGCAAACAATACTATAGGTTTCGCGACCAGGTGACGAATGACGCTTTTGTGTCTGGGGGTGATTCGCTTGGCAGCCAGCCAGAGAGCATCTTCGAAGGTGGATTCTTTGGCGACGGTTTAGGTTTTCCCGACCAGATGAGGAGCCCCGACTCTTGTGTTTTGGATATCAGTCGCCGTACCAAGCTTTTTGCTAAATTTTTGAAGATAGTCGTATGCGGGTTGGAAGCTGCTGCCTTTCTCGTCGTCTTTGGTTTGAGCGGGCAGTCCAGGGTAATCCGAGGGCACTGAATAGTTTCTGTCTCTCTGCAGGACGTCGACGCAAAGCGGTCAAAGAAGTATCCGCAGCTGTACGAGGCTGGCCAGCGAAACCTCTACTTCAACTGGACGACTCTGCTGACGTGGCTCGTGATGGGCATTTACCAGTCCGGGGTGAATTCCATTCTGCTTTTCATCTACATCCATAGGAGTATCCTGCGTCGCGTTGAGAACTGGTCTTACGCCGTTGAATGAATTTGTATAGATACCTGAGGGCCTGTCTTCAAAGTTGGATTGCTGATCTTGTGTCGTTATTAAAGTGGGCGTTCTGTTCCGCGGAATGCCGGACGTCCAAGCTTAGCGGCAGGGGGTCTCACGCAAATTTTGAGTGTGAATTGCGAACGTCAAGTGCCGGGTTTCGTGCCGGTAACCAGCGCAGCGACGGCCGAAGTCCTGGCTCAGGTTCAACTTCCTCGGATCAGTCGCCGTGACATGACGTCAGTGCTGACACTTTGGAACGCCCACTTTAAGATTGCCAGACTGAGGTGCTTTGACAGCAACTTTTGTGCAGAGCAGAGGAAGGAACCTCATCTTGCATTTTTCTTCGCAGATCTTCTTCTACTTCCCGCTCCTCATCTTCAAGGGCCCCCTGAGCTCTTCCGGCAAGACGCTGGGCCTATGGGACGTGGGCACCATGGCCTTCACCTGCATCGTCATCACCGTCAACGCGCGCCTGCTTATGGCGTGCACCTTCCAAACCCGGTGGCACCACATAAGTATATGGGGAAGCATCGGCTTATGGTTCGCCTTTATCTTCGTGTACTGTGCGGTCCGGCCCGGCGCCACAACCGTGGATAAGCAGGTGGGCGCCACGTGGCGGGATGTCATTCGCCAAATTCTGAACATGATTGAATGACCTTTGTCTCGCTTGCGTCAGGCAATACCTCGCCAAAGTTGCTTCTGAGCAGTGTATGTGTCGCTCTGAAGAGATTGACAGCGAGCACAGGACCGTTTATGACGAAGAAATATTTGAGGGTGAAACATCGTGACGTTGTTTCTAGACAGATCTTTGAGCTTGTTGACGTCGTACTGGAGCTGTAACACGTCAAGGGCTCGGCGAGGTGGAAGATGTTTGTAGCTGTACTTTATCCATAGACAAGCAGGTCGTTTGAACTATGCTTTACGTCTGAAGGATGCGGAAAATCTATTGTACCTTAGCAGAGATTGCCCTGAGACGTGCAGTCAGAGTGTGGAATGTCGCGTGTTTGGGAGCGAAGCCGGTAGTGGAAGCTCTTTGTCCGGATTCTGGACGTTTCGAAGGGAAGCTACTCAAAATGCGCTTTTTCCAGTCTTTGCCATCGCTGGCGTTTACAACCTAGGCCCTGACGTCGTGTCCTCTCCCCTTCCGCAGGACAACATTTTCAATGTAATATATCTCCTTATGTCCACCTTGGAGTTTTACCTGACGGCGCTCTTGGTCCCGGTCGTGGCTTTAGGTGCCGACTTTTTGATGGCCGGGTAAGTCCGTCACTTCTCTTCCAGGACTGATAAGTCCTTTTCATTACTTCTGCTGGCCATCTGGAGGTGATTCGTGTTCCTTGCGGTCACGCACTAGGAAAATTTGTAAGCGGTATGTACACCTTTTGGCCAAAACTGCGGGTTTCAGCGTGCAATTGCAGTCCGGGCTTGATCTTAAGAGATGATGCGGAAGCGACCAGTTTAAGAGCATCGAAGACATAAACTTTCACGAAAGCAGCCCAAAGACTGAAAGTTTGCCGCGCCTCATGCTGTTAAACCGAAAGCGGAGTTTTCAGAAGATACTCTCCTGCCCTCAATCCTTAGAAATGGTGCTATTAGATCAGCTCTCAACTTTTTGGCCCTGTGATTAAAGCAGGATAACAAATGCAAAGCTCAAGTCGCCATCTCTCTGATTTTAGCATCCGATGATGGTCACGTCGCAACATTGAGCCCCGGTCCCCATTGTCTTGTAAGCGAGCCACTCGTTGCAAAACAACCTACAAAAATACTGAGCCTCAACTCAAATGCAGACCCTGATCCGCCATCTTTTTCTGTTTCCAGCGTCCAGCGGTGGTTTATGCCGTATGACTACCAGATTATCCAAGAGCAGGAAAAGAAGCACGAGGGCGCGCCCGAGATTGAGATGGAGAGCGCACCGCTGTCGGCGATGCACCTGGAGACGGGCATGACGCCCGCGGACGAGCGCTCGGCCGCCATGGCGATGATGCCGGGCCTGCCGTCTGGCCGACGTGAGCCCCTTAACCACCTCCTTAACCACCTCTTTACCCACCTTGACCCCTTGACCACCTCCTTAACCACCTCAAGCCTGAGATGTAATCTTTGGGATGATTTAGAGAGGGCGTCTGCCCAGCGTAGCTTGCCGCGACATACAGATCATGCGTGTCGACTGCCTGTTTGCTGCAAACGTGTGCCATGTGGCTTTCACAAGCAGCTGGAAACGTCCGGAATCGGGTTTCTGGTGCCTCGTGGGACATGTTGCAAGATATATTGTTTAACCCGTTGAATAGCCCTCTTATCAAAACGTTTGCAATTTTCAAAGCCTCAATTGGTAATTCCGTAAGATGCAAAATGGAAGCCCTTCCTTTGTGGCTTCCACTTATAGAGAGGGAACAATATCAGGGTAGGACATATGGTTGTTTTCGTGACTGAGCAGCCTTCCCTGAAATCTGGAAGGTTTTGTTTTGGGGCAAATTCTGAGTTCTTTTCCTCTCCTCTTTGTCTGGACTGCGTCCGGGTATGGCACAAAAAAGACCCGAATCGTGTACTCATGCGAGCGCCAGTGAAGCTGGTCATTATGTTGACCTTCTATCTGTTGAAGCTTTTGGCGAGCTGGAAAGCGGACAGTGAGCTCCGTTTGGAGATTATGAAAAGACTCTGGCCCGCGTTGTTCATCTTTGTAGACCGCTTTACGGTGGCCCTGTTCTGCTGCAGATACGGGTTTCTCCTTCGACACGCCCGGCTTCCAGTCGTTCTTTGCGGATCAGCAGGGCTATCATCAAGACGAGAAATCTTGGGACATAGCCCGGCGGGCTAGTATGGTGCATAGACGCGTCGATAGACCTAGCGGTTCAGGAGGGCAAGGCCTGAGCCCGCTCGCAAGGTCCGCCCCGTCTAAAGGAGTCGATCGGAGGTAGACGGCAGGTCTTTGAGTTTTTGAACATGTTGGCTACTTGAGACTTTTATATATTCAGGAACGATGTCAATATGCCCAAGGTTACTGGGTGCTTGAATCCATGCCGCGACACGTTGCGCCTGTGAATGATGAGCATGGAGAAGTCATGCATGCCTTTCACATGTGCCCAATGTCATCTGATTGACCATATGCCAGCGTACCTACTTCAAATCTACGGCAGTGCTGCGATCCGAAGAAGAACAGGACTCAAGACGGTATCCTTGCTGGCGCAGCGACGCCGACGCCCATGCGAACAGGCCCTCTTGGGTCCAATAACATCCCACTCCCACTCCGACTCGCTCCCTTCACCGTCAGCGACCGATGAAGTAGAGGCGACGCGCGCGCTCACGTTGCTCCAACTTACGGTACGTACTGCATGATGTACCGGCACCACTCACCATTACAGGCTGGAGTCTGGACTTCCAGAGGTTCAGATCCCCGGGGGCCGGGGCCCGTTTAGGATGGACGGTCGGTACCGTTGACTAAATATCGGGGTGAATGATGCAATTATAGTGACATCCATGATTGGTCTGTAGAATCTGTAAAAAACAATATGCAAGCGGTGGAAATCTCCTCCTGTAAGTGTAAAACTTGCCTTCTTGGCTGGCACATCGCCCAATTCACACTTTGACAGGTTTGGCCTTAAAATTTTGGCCGCAGGAGGATCCCTCTATGATGAATCATGATGACGTAGCAGAAACCTGTGTTACGTAATACCTGCAGAGGAATCTTCATAGTCTGCAGCTTTTGTTGGGGGTACCTACCGTAGGTACGTACCTAATGACTTTCACACCAGAACACCCGTACGTACCGCCATTACCGGTACAACTTGAATGACGTACCGTCAATAGGTAGGGTACCGTACTACCTACGTAGTACCGTAGGTAGGTCCGGTATGTACGGAAGTCCAACGAAGCAATCATCCGTCGCATACTGTAGAGGACAGCTCCAAGTAGGTACCTACCTTGGACCGCGGATACAGGTATCTCTAGATTGTATAAACAGGAGGTAATTTGAAGATGCAGAAGCGCCGGGCACCCCAATTGAAACCTTTGACCCACGATGTGACGCGCTCTCCACCCGCATCAGCCTTAACCAGCAGACTAACCTCACCTGTTCCCCGGGTGCTTAAATGAACATTCGGCCCTCTAATGAATAATCAAGAGTTAGCGGAGTACGTACCGCGGTACCGTGTGCACTGCCAGTGCGCACACTGCGAAGAAATTGTTGGCACGACTCACGACGGCCAAGTCACGAGTCAGATTCACGAGCCCGAGAGAGAAGGAACCTGCTGCATGAGGCTGCTCAAATGGTCGTGTTTCCTTCCCATCTGAGGTGTTTGAAACACTCTCGAGAGTTCCAGCATTTTGGGCAGAAGACGGAGCGGCAAGCTAAGAAGGCCTCGGGCGCCATCAGTGCCTCGATCAGAGGAGCTACCTAGTCCTTATCAGCATACGAAAGGAGCGTCTGCCTAGGTTTTGGAAGCTTGGGCCTCACCATTCGGCAAGCTGCAAAGAGCTGTCAAAGATTGCCATTGTGTTTGCAGAGTCTGCTTCAGGGAGGACCTACACTGCTTGCTAAGGTGAGTGAAGTCTGTCAGCAGAGATGATAGCTTATTGCATTCTCCGGAGGATAGGAGAAACAAGATTCTGGTCTGCTTGCCCTTGGGTTATGTTGTAAGATAATCTTTTGCGGCAAGCTTCTGAATGTGTCACCTTTTTCAAAGAATCCGAAACGTTCCTGCTCAGAGCGCACCAAAAGGATGCCCAGCCTGCTTCTCAAGCCACAGGGGCATTCTGGTTCTCCAAAGAGCCACCTTGTGGGACCAGGCCAAGATTTCCCTTCTCTGTGTCAAACCACACTCTTTTCCCTTCATTCTGAGAAAAATATGGACCGAGTTCTTCCGCCTTTCGTTTTGCAGGAAACCTCCTGACACCTCAAGCCAAACCCCAAAATGGCGTCAGGAAGTTCTGTGGCGCAGCCAGTCACCGGGCACGACACCGAGCACGACGAGGAAAACATTCCCGTTGCGCAGGCATTTATTCCAGGGGCCCAGCCTAGTTACCAGTACGCGCAGGCCACCCCGGTTGTTGCTCAACCGGTCGGAGGTCATCAGCAAGTGTACAGCGCCACTCCCGCCTACAATGCCACTCCCGTAATAAGCTACCCCCAGTATGAAACCGGCAAGGTTCCGCCGACTCCTCCCACGCCCTACGTCCCAACGCCGTACAACAACTACGACCAAAGCGGCAAGCCGGTTGCGGCAGGAGCGTTGGCGCAGCAGTCGTCTCCGAAGATCCTGGGATTGCCAAAGAAGATCTTCTTCCTGATCCTGGGCCTGATTCTGTTGGTCATTGTGGGAGTTGGGGTTGGGGTGGGCGTGGCTGCGTCCGGTGGAGGGGACGATAAGTCGAGCGGGGCCAATAGCCCTCCGGGGCAGACGCCAGGTGAGGAGAGGTCTGCCGATGAGAATGCGGATAGACTTGCCTTGCGACAGGATCGTGACAGGTTTTGATGCTGAGCTGTGTGTCTTTAAGGAGACGTTTGTGAGGTGGCAAGATTGTGGCTTTCGACCAGAACATGGCTGATAAGCTTCCTTCAATGTCAGGCAATTCACATTGCCGCTCACAAAGAAAGGGCTTCAGATCCTCATGTTGATTGGGCAAGCGAGATAGGGTCAGGATGCATCGGCTCTCCAGACTTTCAACCGGATTCTCCATCCAGGTTGCAAATAGGAGCAGATCAGCATTGGACACGAGTTGCACCATAGAATCCCTAATCTCTTTTAAAAGATAGGCCTGCACCATCTTGCGGAGGAATTTACAGTAGCATTAAGAGTAGCGCCCTTCCCAGATTCAAATGTCACGGCGCTGCTAGCTAGTGGATCGTCGCGAAACTTCTTTCAAACTTTGCTTAGCCGTCATGCATCCGCCACTGCACCTAACATGCGAGTGAACCCCAAAATTTCATCCTTTCATGCGTTCCTAGCACATCGCATTATCAAAGAATCTGACCCGTTTCTGGTAGCCCTTAACTTCCTACTTGCTCTCTGCGAGTCCCCCACCAAACTCTGACTTTCCTCCCCCTGCAGTCAACCCCAGCTCGCCAGTCACCAACACCCCCCCTTCCCCCGGCAGTCCCGGCACGACTATCACAACGACTCCCGGCAGCCCCCCCGACTCCATCCCCATCGTGACGATCGGAGGACCCGCCGCGCCTAGTTCTCCAACCACACCGAGCACTAACCCCACCCCCCCCAGCACGACCCCCCAGCCCCCGAGTCCGGTGACAACTCCCAGCCCCCCCGCCAAAACGACCGCCCCGGCTCCCGCATCCTCGGTGACGTTCGGGACGTTGAGCGCGGACGGCCAGGCGCTGGTGACCGCGATCAATCAGGAACGGCAGAAGAAGGGGGTGTCGGCGCTCACGGTGAGGGACGCTACCTTGTCATGACTTCTTCAGAGGCTGGTGTCGGGTTGAATCAGGGTGCAGATTGTTGTGATTGAGACCCTGCATTCCGGTTTTTCTCATGTATCATTTTTTTTTTTTTTTCAAAATGTTTCAAGAATTTTCTGGGATGCAAATGGATTAAAACAATTTGTTGGTAAAAAGGGCGGAGGTGGTTGGGCAACGTCCTTTTCAATCTGAAGATTGGGACTAGTCCAAAGTTAGGCCGCAAAACAGCTGTGTTGTCAAACAGTACAAGGCCTGCCCAAGTGACCCAGCAACTTGCCACCAATTCTACTGTGGGCACTGATCCGTCGAGCTTTTTGTGTCGCGCTGGTGGGCATTGTTTTTGAAAGTTTCTCTCTTTGGCATTTGAAGTGAACAGCAGACATTGAGAAGGTGGTTCGATAGCGCTGTCCACTTGTTTCCCATACTGGAACCAAGATTGAAACAGCGCCGCTACTTCGCATCTTGGCCTTCACGTTTCTCGGGCACTGGACCACCCGTCGAGAAAGGTCTGCTCTTTCAGTGTGGCTTGAGTGTCCAGAATACAATGGCGTCTTTCAAATGCAATGGCGATTGCAAGAAAAACGGACGATCTTAGTATCCACCATCACCAGTGAACTGGGTACTCTTGTTGGAATCGGTTAACAAGCTTTTGAACCCACAATTCAGATGGCAGGAGCTCAATCCAGCTCAAATTCAGCTTTTCCTTAGTCAAATCTGGTCACACTCAGGTCGTCTATCGGTTGTCCGTTCCAATACCTGTGTCTGCACTGCAAGTCCAACAATCGTTGTAGATGCTTTTTCAAAAGCATTGCTTTCATTGGGCGCTCAACCTGTGTGCTAACCTTTGACCCAGCTTGCGTTTACTACGTCAGTATCCTTTGCGCTAGGATTCTAGTTACGGATCCAAGCAAAGCTGACGTCATTCCCAAGTGTCATTCTGACACTTTGATCGTTTTTTCCCCAGGTCGATTCCACGCTGGTCTGCACGGCGCAGCGGCTGTCGCGGAGCAAAGGCGGGCTGACCAACCCGACGTGCAACTCGGAAGGTTTCCCCCTCATGACGCGCATCAACCAGTGCAGCGTCACGTTTGACGGCCAGATCAACCAGCTGACGGGGTGTGAATACTTCACGCCGTCATTCCAGGTGGATTCGTGGGCGTCCGACACGGACCTCTCCGAGGTTCTGCTGGACCCAACGTTCAAGTACGTGGGGGGAGACGGGTACCCCAACGGCAAGTTCTGGACCGCCATCTTTGCTTAACAAGGAGGGTTAGCGTACCGGGTTAGCGTACCGGGTTTGGACTTGGACGGAGGCACGTTGAAAGGCTGACGGCAGCAGAGTGCTGGATCTCCAGCCTCGCTTGAAGTGGAGGGTCAGCGAGTCGGGTGGGCGTGTTGAGACTGGTGGGGTTATAGTGCATGAAAAGGCCGATGGCAGCGGGGTAAGGCCTGCATTTTCGCACGCTAGCTAGGATGCGCAGCTTTGCATGCTAGCCAGCCTTCAGGTAGCAACGCCGTGAGCGTTCGGTGTGTTACACATCTTGGCACCCCGGCAGGATTTGGTGTGGAAGAGTACTATTGGCCATACTCTAGTCAAAGTTCGAGCGTGGGTAAAACCGTCTTGGGACATCTTATGGTCTCACTTTGCGTCGCACACTAGTCTGCCGTCTTACTAATGCTCGCTATAGGTGGTCTAGGACGAACATAGAGCACAACATTCCAACTCGAGAAGCAACAGCATTGCCATTTGAGTGGGTCTGAGTGCTCAGAACAATCTTTGTTACAAATTACACCATGCGGATCATTCTTATTATTCCAAACTTCAGCTTTGGCAACCGAAAATTTCCAACTGATAGCCTGGCATGCCGATGGTGCACATGACATGCTGCCGTATCGTTATGACGGTCCCTAGCGCCACATTGCGATCGAGTTCATAGACTTCAAGCTAGGTCATCTTGGAACGAAGAGGCATCGGCCGTCCCTTATAGCTAGGGCCGCATGCGGCGTATGTGGCATATGGCGATGCAAGAATTGCTGAAAGAGCTGATTTGTTTGTCACTGAGACTCACAGCAACTTCGCCTGCAATAACATGTCACTGAGACTAACAGCAACTTCGCTCAATAACATCCAAGATCCGCACCTAGTGCGCCAGCACAACTGCACGCGCACCTATACTCAGGCTGTCGCCGGAATCCTCCTGGCCCCAATGCTTGATGCTATATCCATCCTAAGTGCATGAGTAGTTTGGATGCCTTGCAGTACTTTTTCGAAATATGATGAAGAGAACATCATGACAAAGGGTGCATGATGGCACCCATGAAACTCCTTTTTAGAGGCTTGCTGCCGGGCTGGATATGTCCGAGGACCATACCGTGCTAGACGCCACGGGCACCGAATGCAAGCTCTCACGCTCTTCTTTCTCAAGAGCCGCCGGCCGATTTCAAGGACTGATTATCTAGTGCTTCGATGATCACATAAACGTGAAGTCACCGCAGCCCAAGTGACAGTTGTGCTTTCGCATATGTGCTCATGCTTTAAGAATCTTCACTTGCCGTTGACGTGAACTTGATCAACGTGAAACCGAGGCAAACTCAACCCGCAACTGTCAACGGCCGCCTCCAACATTGACAGGGACGACGTTGTGACACTGAGATAAACTTCTTTACTAAGGGTTACGCAACCGATTACGTCACGGTAAGAAGCTCTGCTTCTGTTACGGGGAAGCTGCCAATGTCGTGTCCCGCAACGGGGCGCAACCGTTTGGTCAGCCCGCTGGCGAGGCTCTCGGTACCGGCCCCCCGCCGCTGACAAAACTCGGCGATCTGCAAGTATGCGTTCAAATTCGAAGCCAGCTGAACCGATCCGAATAACTTACGTTCCCCAGACAATTGCCCAACCTCGGTCAGTAGATACTCAAAGCGAGGTTCAGTTTTGACTAGGTTCCGCCCAAACGGTGTTTTACCAGACTTTGAGTGATGTGTGTTAAGTCATAAAGAGATGTAGCCAGGCACTTTGCATTAAACGATTCATCCTGCCTGCGGAGTATTTCTTGCAACGAGGCAACATCTTCCAGTCCCTGCACTTGCTGCGCTTCCGTGGTTGGAAAATCTTCCTGGGGCTTTCAAGAGACTTGTTTCTCTCTGGTTTGACAGCGGCTTTTCCGGGAGCTCCTCAGGAACGTGCTTAGGGAGTCTTGGATTCAGGAAGGAGTGTTTCTTGCCCCTGTTTTTAACACCGGTGCTTAGCATAGAACGATGTACGGACAGTGTCTGAACGGGTAAGACAGTCGGCAGGCATAAGCACGCACTCTCAAGAGCATAGCGTATACCTCTAGAGCCATAGCGTACCTGCAGTGCCATAGCTCGGCCGCTCAACACCGCATCCTGCATGCTGGAGCCCAGCAGCCAGTCGCCGCAAATCCCGACCCGTCCCAGGGGGTCGAAAATACAAGGCACGCCCGGCGTATTCGTTGGCAACGCTGCCCCCCTGTAAGAATTCATCCGTTTCTCAATATGTTCCCTAAAAAGAGAGCAACGCCTCTTTGAAATGTCGATTGAAAGAAACGTTCTACGCAATGGAGACAGACTTCCGCTGTCGACGTCGCGCTTGGATTTACAGACCGCACAAAATCTAAACCTGACGCACAAGCAATGGTTACGTCGCAGATTACCGCAGGACATTCCCGACATTGACGACGAGCAAACACCACCACCAACCAGATAGAGCCTGCTAGAGTTTCATACTAGTATCACCAAGATAGAAACAACGCGGATCACCACCATAGCGTATTGCTTTCATTGGGCAATTGAATGGAGTAACTGTTCGTCCCCTGGTGCAGCACTGGGCGCTCACCAAAGTTGCGTTTTGGTGAAGATCGGGGCCGGGAAAGTCCCCCGAGAGACGCCCCAGGCGTCTTCAAAGCCGTCGAGCATTTCCCGGGTGACCTTCGCGGCAACCGGGGCCGGCACAGCTTCCTACGCGGCACAATCCAAAGCACTCTGAGAAAAGTAACGAACTTTGAGATGTACTTTGCGCAGATGTACAGAAACCCGCATGAGAGACCCAGAAACCTTGGCTGCGGCTGAAATCGGCACTGCTTCTTACATACAGCGTTAAACGCAGGACCTTTTTGCATCGTTCATGATCCTTTAGGCGAGCGCAGACCTGCACAAAGCTGCATGAGTCTTTAACTTAAGAGTGGGGTAGCAAGGCAAAGGGGGAGGCATCTGCGTCGTCTTTCGAACCAAGATTCCTAGCATCCTGTGGGTGAAGACGGCCTCGTGTGACCATACGCGAATGGACTTTGTTGTCGTTTCGTTGGCCCCACCTCCGTGGCTTCTACATGCACGTCTATCTCTTCTAGCTCCGAGCGACAGCCCAAAGCGCTTCCGGAAGTCCTGGCTTGCTCTTCGCCGAGGAGCGCTATGGAACGGAAAGTCTTGTATCCATGTGTGCCTGGGACCGGCCAAACTGGAGATATCGGCTGAATATCTTCCATGTCGAGCTCAGTCCTTGTACGTGCTCGCAGAGTTCGGTAACTTCGTAAACAAAGAACGTTCTTTTCAGTAACGGAGGCTTTCCACTTTGAACAAAGCTTAGAGACTTACTTAACCCGTCTCAAACCCACTCCTCACCTGGGGAACCTTGTTGTCCTTTCCGTAGCCCGCCGTGCTGAAGAGCGTCCAGCATTCCGGCCCGCTCCGCTTGAGCTTCCGGTTGTTGTTGCACGCCCACGAAACGGACGGAACGTCTTGTACGAACGCAGCGTCGATCTCGGGCGGGAGAGGCAGGGGCTTGTCGAAGGCGGCGAGCAGAGCCCAAATGGAGCTCAGGCGTAGACTCTGAAGCAGCCAGAAGGTAATAGTTGATAACGAAAAAGACGAGCTTAGACCGTAAGTTCTAGGAAACGGAAAGGAAACGGTTGGTGACAGAACGAGGAAGGCAGAACACGCGAGCTGTGGAGAGTTAGGGACTCGTCGTTGAGAAGACTTCAGGGAATATTGTTTGTGTTAAACAGAGTGTAAGCACTTATCGAGGGCCTTCATAGAGGCTAGAGCTTGCTGTGGCCATTCATGAGTGCGGCGTCACCTTCTCACTAGGTATTGTGAGCTGAGAACGGAAGACCGTATGCGCCCCTTGCATCTTCCTTTCAGTTCGCCATGAGCGATACTTTAGAACGCCAGCTTCAGTCGCCGGGTACGGGCCTTGGCAAATCTGCTGCCATCAGATGACAATATGAAAACGAGCGACAATGTTTGAATCGTTACTTGGCGCTGAGAGTCTGTGAGTGCGCGATCTACTCACCTTCATTTGAGCTGCAACTTCTGGGACCCCCGCTGGAGCTAAGAGCCGATTCGCACACTTCCCTGCACAAAGCCGGGTCGCATCAGTACTGATTTCCGGAGAAGGGAATGCTACCCGTTGCATAATCAGTTCTCATCTACTCCTCTCTTGATTTCACACTCTGAGGTCACCAACACGTTGACAGTACAGGCGTGGTATCGGGCCGTTCTTATCGCAGGTTCGAGAATGCGAAAAGACAGCAAGTGAACGGTCGAACGCAATCTGGACCACTTCGTAAATAATTGGGAAGCGTCACAAAGCGAACAGACGCGACGTCGAAAGTGAGAGATCTGAAGCCCCAGAGCTTTTCAAGAGTCATTGGCACAATCTCGACGAATGCAGAAGAGGAAAGGAAAAAGGGACGAAGAAGATTTCAGCGAGACATTGACAGCTTTGAACTACACTCTGTAGAGTTCGCAGACCTCTTAGAAGGTAGCTCGCAAATCAAATCTGAGCTTGTAATATCGACATTCCTACAGCTCATCAAATCCCTCGGCATCCAAACAGGGGGCAAGGCAGTAAGCTTTTCAATACAAACAGTTTGCTAGAGGCAGCAACCTAACCTACCGTTATGGGCAATCACAACAAAGTCGAAATCACCCTCGTGCCTTCCGTTTTCGCTTAGTCGCCATTTCCCCCCGCTGGGCTCCATTCGGCTAACCCAACATGGGCGACGAGTTTGCGCTAACCCCTGCCGCACCTGCCAAAGACAACTTCGCTTCAGCTTTTGCACGCAGGAAACGATGGAAGAGAAAACATCACTTCGTCAAAATATGAACAGAAGCAAGGGCGTCCCCTGCTTGTAAACATATGCAGGATAAACCTGACGAGACTCAGAAAGCGTTGCCGAACGGAAAGAAGTTTGGTCGATGCGAGCTTGTTCCATGGAGAGTATGTTTCCAGCATGTCACATCGCTGGCCAGGAAATGTTGCACACCTTCGCAAGCTGAACCAGATTTTCTGGCTATGCAGCTCTGGAACGGAGAAATGTCACTGCCACCTCACCATGTAATCAGAAACGAAGAAAACGGAGACAGAAGGTGCTTTGAGGGCAAGGAAAAAACGAAACATTTGCATCATGGAAGGGAGGAAACGCCCCACCTTTTCTCCCAGTCGATCTGCAAGCCCCATCATGCCATCGACCCCCAGATACTTCGGCTGCTCCCCAGGCAGCGGTGTGAATTGTCCTCTTTTCAGGTTCCCCACTGACCCATCCCAAACCCGCACTAACCCCTCTGCTTCCCACTGATCTACCATCTTTTGAACAATGGGGTCTGAAACCGTGAAGTACTGCGCAGCGTGGTCGAAAACTAGAGACTGGCCGCCTGGGGTGCTGATGTGTCTCGTGGCGAGACGGCCCCCGAGACCGCGCTTGCCCTGAGAGTAGAGTCAGGAGCGATACGTTAAGCCTGCAAATCATTTTCTCAGGAAGGGCGATTAGTGCATTTCAGACGAACAATCCTCGGCAAGCTGCTTCTAATCTTCGGTCTCAATCATTGTTGGTCATTGACTGTTCACAAGCGGGAGAACAAGGGGAACATATGCAGGGGCATGATAAGTTTGGCTTGTGAAGTCGGCTGCTGCGAACACTTCAAGCGTCAACATGCCCCTGACTGACTCAAGGGACACCTTATCATCTCATGAAGAGGAAGTCTCAGCTAGACCTCATCAAGAGATCACTGACTGCGGCTTTGTCAAGAGTCTTTCAGAGAACCCTTCCGTGATAGAAGCCCCCTTATACTACTGTTTTGTGGAATGCATCCTTTCTTTGAACGCTCCTCCAATAGTACTCCTAAGATGGTGTGGTATGTTTATTGGATCCCTCACCGTGTCAAAGACCGTCGACCGGACCCCCTGGTCAGACAACACCTGTGCGCATATCAGCCCCGATAAGCCCCCCCCAATGATTGCCACTGAGGCATCCTCCGGGACCTCCCCTTTGAATACCGTCCGTTGCTTTTCCGTTCTAGGTGGTGGTTTGCCATTCTGCGATGGGGGCCTTGGGCCTCTCCCTGCGTCTGATTTGCGCCACACATCTCGTGTTCTAGGCAGACTCCTGCTCTGCCCCGGTGAGTTTCTCCCTCTCTCTATTTCTTTGCCTGGACTCCCCTTTGAGGATTCACGGGTCTGCCCGGATGATGGTTGTTGAGTGTCACCTTCCGGCAGCCCAGACACCGCGTTTGCTCCATGTAAAGGGGATGTGTTTGAACAACTTTGTGTCGGCCTGCCACCTGCTGGCATCCTCAACCTTGGAACTGATGTCTTTTGATTCCGAAAACGATACACGATTCGAGGGCCACAAACCTGCGTGCTGAAAGTAGAAATTTGTTGATGAGAAGCATTGATATGTTCCAACACTCCCACCTTGCAAGCGCCGCTTCTGAGCAAGGGCGCTCGCAGAGCCTGCATCTTGTCAGCAAGCACAATGCATCTCGAACTTTCACCGGGTTCTCTGCAATGCCGTCCTCACATTGAAGGAGCTGCTATTAAAGCACGTCCAGACGCCAGTGGCAAAGATTCTGTGCAGAGACACAGGGCAGACGGATGACGTTCTGCACAGCGCACATAACACCACCATGATCCATGAATGCTCATCTTCTGTTGCAGCAAATCTGGTGTTCAAACCACGCCCGGGCAGAGAGTACTGCTTTGAAATTAACGTCAAATTCACTTGTATATTGCCATTTTGGCTGATCGTCCTTTAACATCCATAAGGGCCTAGCTTTAAACTGCGGCTAGCTAATTGAAACGCGGAATACCGCGCGTAGACCTGTTGCCAGTTGGTACCGTATACGGGGCAAAATCAGGCAGATACCGTACCAGGGTACCTCAAGTCCGGGTTTTGGCAATAATATTGCCTTGTTTTTGCCTGGGCGAGTTGGGGGCCTGTTATGCATAAGGGGTCCGCGTTATCGTCCGGTCGTGCCCGGGAGTAGTATTGGGGACAGCCTGGTGGCCGGTCCCGACTTGCAGTTACTAGCGGACGTTCCCGGTTCGATAACTCTAGATGTCCCGCCGTGTCAAGCTGTGATTTGATTCAGACCTCCTGCTCGTAGAGGGGCTAGCTAGCTGATAGAGAAGCCTCAACTTAACCGTCGGCCTGACTGAATTTGGTCAATGGATGTCAAAGGGGTGCGCTACTGTGATTGGCTCGGTTCACGTGCAGGTCCGTCGATGAAAGCACGCGTACGGCTGCATGTCGGTGCTTGGCGAGAAGCGATCCCCTTGCGCGCCCTCCGACCCCTTCCCAACCAATTCTCTGCCGAAGAATTTCCGGTGTGAAAACAGTTCTGAAAGATTACAGATTGGTTAAAAGAGTCTACTGGAGAGTCGAGGGTAAATACACAAGTTTTCTAGGATATGACACCATGGTATCTGAGCTTAGGCTCATGCAGGTGTCGACTGCAGCATGATAGGGTGGTCACATTTGTATCCTCGGAAAGTCGGCGCACCGACCCCAAGGGTGCGCACCGACCCTAGAAAGCCACTTCGGTCATATTTGCTTTTGGGGCCACTCGACCCGACGGCTAAAACTTCCCGTAATTTGCGGTCTCGAGTCTCGACGGTAGATTGTGCGCACCCACCCTAGAAACTTTTTCGGAGGTCCGGGATCGGTCGCCCCCACCCTAGAAATGTTGCGACCCCGAACCTTAGCTAGGGCGGAATTTCCGCCCCGAGGGTGGAATTTCCACCCCGAGGGTCGGAATTCCGGCCCCAAGGGTCGTCGCGACCTCAAATGTGACCACCCTGTCACTGCTTTGAATCTGATCCTGGGCCCTGGATGGCCATCATTCTACATCGTATTAGTTGACACCGAGTCTTGCCCAGTGTCCCGGAGCGAGAGGCCAGCGTCTCTGCTACCGGGGTCGCGCTGCTTGGCGCAGGCTCCAGATTTCCATAGTGTCATCTTGCATGTGGTCCCCCGAGCACCCCAGTGCTCCCTACGACAGGTTACAGTGTCGCAGCCCCATGCCTTTGATGGGTACGGGCTTATGAGAAGATAACATTCTGAAGTTTGAGCTTCGCAGAATTTGGGATTCAGGCATCTGGCCGTGCAGCAGGGGACGAAGCTTACGGCAGCAGGGACGGTGAAGAGCGCCTTGGACACTGTGCAGATTGCAGCAAAGTCGACTCGCAGGAAGATCCAGTGGTTGCACACCTCTTAGGAGGGATCATGGCTTCGTACGGAGGGGAGGACAAGAAGCGGAAGTTGGACGGCTCGGCTGCGGCCCCTTCGTCGCTGCGCCCTGAGGAGATCAAGGATCTGCTGACTGCGCTGAAACAAGAGCAGGTGGTGGACCTGCTCGTCAAAGCGTGAGTAGCTCCTGCTTCTCCTGGGTAAAGATTTTGAGCTGGACACGAGTTGCGCATGGCGGTTTATGCAGACTGGCCTGAATTGGATGCACCTCCCTCTTTTTCAGAACTTCCTGCTGAGATATTATTGGTGCTTGAGTTTCCATCTTATGGGTAATGGTTGCAGTTCTGCTCGATTGTTGCTTGGTATGATTTCTGTCGACTATTTCGAGCAAGTAGTTGGGTTGTTGGACAGTTTGATCATGGTAAGTTTTGCATTGCTGATTCGACCATAGATTGCACTTGCTTTCAAATCTGATGTTGGTGCTTGTTTCTGACCGCTGGGCCAAAAGGCCTTCACAAGTTACTGGATTCTTGTGTTGGAAGCAATTCAAGTCTTACTCATCCGGTGCATCAGCTTCTGTGCAGCCTTTGTGCAGTCAGTTTCTGCAGGAAGATGGATGATTCAAAGGTTGTAAGTTGCAAGCAGGGTGTTCTGAAGGATTGGTAGCCGATCTGAGCATTTAGCGCTTTTGTAACCGGTCTTCACCACGGTATCTGTTGAGGTCTGGTGCTTGAAATGTAGAGGTGTTTATGTAAGCAAGCTACCCGACTGCTCTGAGCCTGACACTGGAGTGTGCATCCTGGTCTTGGCTGGGTCTGCAGTTGTTCCGCTCATCCTGATGTTCTTGACGATGTGAGAGATGCTGCGAGCAAAGATCCTGCAACTCGAAAGCTCTTTGTGCGTGGCCTGCCTTGGGAGACGACCACCGAGGAGCTGACTGCTGTGAGTAGTTTTGTCTGAATCCTGCTACGATTGATCGCACTAGGCGCAGGCACCACAGAGATTAGTTGTTATCCAGTTGGTAACTGATTTTCTGCTGAGGAGCGGATTGACCAGGTATGACACTTGGATAGAGTCGAAGGGATGCGCAGAGATTTGGCTGCAGGTTGTTGCTTCTTCAGCTCCTTTTGCAGCTTTGAAGCTAGTTGACTTACTCGGGACTTCCTCAATTGCCATCTGCCTCCATGTCTTCGAAGTTTTGCTTTACACACCTCTGCGTTGCTCATCATCTTGGTCTACTTTGTCGTCAGTCGTCAGAAACCAGCTGCGATCTTTTCATGCTGCTTCAGTGTTAAAAACGAAGGATGTCCTTCAATCAGTTAGGAATTTTACTAGGTTGTGAGCGTGCCACAGCGGCTGAACAAGGTAGAAGAAAATCTGCTTTCAAGCCTGCTTGAGGCTTGTGATATCGAGGCGAGTTTTCCAGCAGTGACACACCACTTGTGAAGCCACGAATTCTTCGAATCTGTAGGTCTGGTCATGGAGATTCTCACTGTCTTCCTTGTTTTCAGGCGTATGAAGAGTTCGGCGACATTGACGAAGCAGCCGTCATCGTGGACAAGATTTCTGGCAAGTCCAAGGGCTTTGGATTCGTCACCTTCAGGCACATCGACTCTGCTCAGAAGGCCCTTCGGAACCCAAAGAAGCAAATCAGGGTATGTTTACACAAAGTTCTATTGAGCCTGCACCTTTGGCGGCCAGTTTGTTGGGCTTTGGAAAGTGTTACCCTGCTTCTGATTTCCCACAGGCCTTGGAACTGCTAATGCAGGTCCCCCCTGACAAAACTGTGGATGTTTTAGGACATTGAAAAGGAATTGCGTTTCCTCCTCAGCTCATCTCTACGTGCTCAACACAAGCGAAGGCTCTGTGCAATCGGTTTTGAAAAAGAGTTGGGAAGGAGCTCCGATGCCGGCACTTCAGGACACTTGTGACAATCACCCCCAGTCCATTTACGGGTTCTCTTACGTTTTCAGCTAGTGTTCGCTGGACCCGGTCTTCGATCAGTCTTCCTTGTCTTGTTCCATTTGCGCTGCAAAAGTGTCTGCCGAAGTACCACCATTGTTGCATCTTATTCAAGATTTCCAGCATGGGTTACCCAGGGTTTTGTCAGAGGTAGATGGATGTTGATGTCACTGGTGCTCGTCTGCAGGACCGCACCGTGCACGCCAATCTGGCGGCACTTGGCAGCAGCGCGACCCAACGGGACAACAATGACGTGAGTCAGCGCAAGGTCTATGTCGGGGGGCTCAACTACGACACCACCAACGAGACGCTTCTTGAGGTCTTCGGCAAGTTTGGCGAGATTGAGGAGGGGTCCATTGCCACGGAGAGGACAACCGGCAAGTCTCGGTGAGAAAAAAGGGCTTTTGTTTTTGCTGACCGTGCGATACCGCGCTCTGTTGGAGCTTCAGAGTTCCTTTGTATCCTTATTTTTTATTTCAGTGTAGGCAAGAAGTCTGTATTGTTTATGTAGATCTGCTTCTGTTCTCGTGCTGAGGTTCCTGTTTTTCTTGTTGGATGTTGCATCAGGTCCGACAGTATCTGCCGTACTTGTAGCCGATTTTCCGCTTTGAGCCGGCTTGTGCCTCACGATGTTTTCTGACGACAAAATTTGATATTTGCAGCGGGTTCGCTTTCGTGACCTTCCGAACGGCCGAGGGCGCCCAGGCGGCTTGCGCAGAGCCAGTGAAGCACATTGACGTGAGTACTGTCTTCGAGATTCCCCGTTGACTAGGTTGCTCACCTTCCCAATACGTAACGAGGCTCGTCTCAGAGATTGTGCCTTGATTTGGTTGCTTTCACTTAGACGGAGTCTGCCCGTGGTAAAGTGGCAAGTGCACGCACTAGCACCAGTTGATGAAGAATTTCCGGTGTTTTTTGCCAGCTTTTTGATTGCGCGGCTCCGAACTGTATTTCAGTCGATGTAACTGTCGCTGAGCAAAGGAGAAATACCCCGTCAACCTCTTGAGCCGTTCAAAACGAAGGCGATGCTGTGCAGCCTTAAGCAGCCAAAGGTCTGATTGAATGGTTTCTCTTTGCAGACACGCAACGTCCAGGTCAAGCTCGCTGCGGAGGGCCGGCAGCAGCGGCAGCAGGAGCAGACGAGCGCGAGCGGCCTCCAGAGCTACAGCAACAGCGGGATGGGCAACCAAGGGTACGGCGGGAACTTCATGGGGAACCGGCCCATGATGAACCAGCCTATGGGCCAAATGGGCTTCGCTTCCGCAGCACCGATCGGGCAGATGGCGGGTTACGCTAACCAGGGCGGGTTAAGCGGCGGGCAGTACGGGCAGATGGGCGCCGGGCAGGGGTTCGGAGCGGGGCAGCAGTTTGCGGCGCCGCTGGGGCAGATGGGGGGGATGCAAGGGGCGCTCCAACAGCCCGTGCAGTATGCTAACCAGGCAGGGTTTGCGGCCGTCCCTGCTAACGCCGGCACTCAGCAGTTTGCTCCGCAGCAGGGGGGACAGCAAGGGGGCCAGTTTACGGGGGCCCAGCAGGGCTTCGCTGCTCAACAGCAGTTCCCCGCGCAGATGGGGGGCCAGGTAGGAGCAGTGCAACAGCCGCAGGGCCAGTTCACATCGCAAGCAGGTAATGGTCAGGTCGCGGGTGGCTTTTCGCAGCAGGCAGTGCCAGGGGGGCAAGCGGCGGGTATGGCTGGGGGCCTGCCCAACGCGATGTACAGCAACTTCCAAGGGCAGTAATTTTAATCGGAAAGTGTGAAGGAAGATGAGAGCGGATTGAAATAGATTCCCTGCAAGTTTTGTGAGCGTCTCAGTATCTGAGATCCGGCATGCTGATCGCGTTTCTAACCTCGCTACTAAATGCACCCATTCTCAATGGTGACTTTTCAGAAAGGTTGCTCGCAACCATTTCTTACCTTCTTTGGATGTGGGCAGGTAATAACCACTGACATGCGTGCAGCGCCGCGTCGTGCGCCTCTCTTCTGCGCATGCTGGGTAGAGTCTTGTCTTGTCTTGACACGTCTCTGTTGTCAATTTTGCATATGGTGTGGCCATGTCTTGTTCTCTTCCAGGAACGGTCACATCTGCATATCCACTGAGTGATTACAAGCATGCCATGGCTCATGATTGCAAGCCGGCTGCCATAGACACACATGTGCATTATCATGCGTGTTTACCGGGATATCATCATTTATGCTTGACCGCCTAGGTTGATCAGTGCGCAGCTATACCACATATGCCTACACAGCTGCGGCGGCCTTCAATATCATGCGATGATGCATCGAGAATATATGGCCCGCATATGACATGATAATGCGTGCATGCATCATGGTTTTGCAAAGAGCATGGCCGGCACTGACTTACATGCAGTATGCCAGTCGATCAGACATGTGAGCAGATTGCCTCATGACAACTAAAATTATGCTCGTGCGGTCACGATAAGTTGCATGTTTGACATAGAGACGCACTGGAGAGGCAGGTGCAAGCGCGCACCAACATGAGAATCTTACCTCGATTCAGTTGCGCGGCAAGAGGCAAGCGCATACCATTGCACACATGCCCAGCTTACGTGAAATTTACCATCTTTTGTCATTTTTGGAAAGCCGGCTTCTGATCCTGAGCAGTTGGCCGATGATGTCGTAACATTAGAAGGACCGTTTTGCTCGTTGTTTCTGTCATATTGGAAGATTCCAGAGGTATTGCAAAGGCATTTAGGAGGCAGCTGTGTAGAAGTAGTATCCCTGCACGCCTTCGAAGATCTCGAGAGCTTTGCCTGCAGAGATGGAGAAGAAGCGCAAGGTCAACCACAAGCAGGAGTGCACCGTGGCACGAGGCAAAGATGCTTCATGGCAGTCATGAAGTTAGGCGTGCAAAACAGATTCACTGGTGCGGTAGAAGGTAGCTCCTCAGGGTATGCGAAAGCAAATAATTACATCCCCGTATCGCCTTCACAGCTTTGCCGGACCCCTTGGGAGTGTCTGACACGGTCTCAAACCAAAGTGCTTTGAGGTTCAAGACCCCCGTTGGGCAACGAAAAGCGCAGACTTTGGCCTCGATTTTGGCAGAAAAACACTGATTAGGTGCTCTGGGCAGGGACGCTCACTTGTCAGGGCGCCCAGCAAAGGCACCGGCCAAAGGACGCGCCCCACAGCTTCAGCGGGAGGCCTGCAAGCAGAACAGCGCTTAGAGTGACAGAGCTCTTTTAGGGACGGGCAACCAGACGGGCAATCAGATCGATGCGGAGGGCTGGGACGGGGGAGGGGACAACCGGTCCGCTTCGATAACAGTTGGTCGACAATGACGATAAAGTGGAAGCAAGTACCAGTCCTTGCAGGCACGGAGTGAACAAAGACGAGCGCTATCTATGCTGCAACTGACGAGCTCAGCGGTGCTTTTGAATCCATGATCCGCCATGCACAGCCTTCGCGGTCCTGCTTACAACCAACAAAAAAGAGTCGCAGATAAGAGAATTCATTAGAAGTCGAGCAGTGTGCGCTCAAAGTTCGTTCGTCGAAGATAGAAAGCATTCTTACTTGGTCACCATTTCGAAGACGGGGCTCCGCATCAGGTACAGGAGAAGCAGGACCCGTCGCCTCGCCATCTGCAAACGTCCACGCAGATTTAGAACCAGGTAGAGATTTCCCCACCGGAAAGTACCGCTCAGAAACGCAATAAGGGTGACCATTCTTCTTTTTCAAATGCCAACCGACCATTGCCTAACGACGTTCAGATGCACCTGTCGACCTGTAAGGACCGCACCACCGCAACTGCACAGCAGATCGTCACTCTCTTTTCTTGCGTAGTCTCAAACCCGACAATCATAAATCTGCAGCAAAATGGTCCGGTACGCAGCTCCCAAATAATAACTTCCTTTCTCACCTCGCTCCTCTCCTGCTCCGTCAGCCCCCCCTCGCCCTCCTTCCCTTTTCCCCGCGCGTCTCGTTTCAGCACCTCATCCCCCGCCGCAATCAGCGCCATGCTCGCCGCATCCACTCCCAGCGACAGCAGCCACGGCTTCCACTTCCTGGCACCCCACTTGCGCATCGCCAATACGTATACCAACGGCCGCATCGCGTATAGGACCTCGCCCGCCGTGAGACACGTCCGCGCGGCGCGCTCGGCCGCCGACATCTCCGGTTTTAGGCTTCCGGCGGAAAGTAAAGTCTCGTTGTTTTGCGCCGCTAGGGTTCGGGGGTCTATGCTTTCGACGTCGATGCTTTCGGACATAACGGTCGCGAGGAGCCGCGAGGGGGGGGGCAACTCCAGGTCCTCCGGACGGGGGGTGTCGTAGCGCTGCAGCTTTCCCCGACCCCGGACGTCCGTATTGATAACATACCGGTTCAGAAACGCGCCCCCCGAGCTGTTCTCGCGTTCAGACGTTGACGCCCCGTCGGTTTGAAACGGCACCTTTCCCGAAAGGCCCTGTTTAGAGGAGGGTTGCGACGATGGCCCCACGGAAGGGTCGTCGCGGCTGTGGACGGAGAGGGTTGACAGGGCCTCGGGGGAAGAGGAGGCGCCGTCTTCGGCCCACCAGGGGGGCTGGCGGTGTCCCATTTCGACTGCACAATAAGCATTTAACGATCTCAAAACACCTTTCTCGAGGACACCTGTTGCTCTAACTTCTCGGACTGCCGATAAAGTCGGAATCTTCCGTTCAGAGTCTGGCTTTTGCAGGATAAGTAGTGCGTCATCGAAACGATGAGGTGGTGAATCAAGACAGGTTCTACCATGCGATCACGAATACCATGCAATCACGAACGGGTGCACTGAAAACGGATGCACTGAGAACGGATGCTTATTGACAGAGCATCATTTCAGAAGGAAAGCAACGTAAAGCATTGTTTGCTCTCAAACCCGAGTGCAATTACTTTTGCTCGGGTTTCAAAGTTAGCCTCCTACAAATGACGAAGGGAATGCGTGATGGGCCGAGTGGCTTCAAATCACGGCAACTCTGCACGAAGTATGAAACGGGGTCGTTCGCAAGATGAAGGCTTACGATCAGGCTCCCTATGCTTCCCGTGCGCCGCCGCCGCAGAATCGAGCTGCGGTGCTCGCGCCACGAGGTTTCGCTCCCTGAACTTGGCAAATGCGTGCAGGGCCATGCCGCCCTTGTCCCGGGGCTTCGACGGGGCCGCAAACTCATCTGCAACCACGAGGGGCACGTGACCTGTCTTGCAATGAACTCCGTTCAAAGAGGGCGTAGCACCGGGTCGGACGTCAACGTAAGCACCCATCACCGTTTAGCAGTAGTCTGTGCTCGGTGATATAAACCTAGACACTTGTCTTGGGCGAGAGAAGAGCAGAGCGACTGCTCAACAGGTCACTCAGATGCGTCTAAATACGCCCTCTTAAAAGAGAAGAAGACTCTATTCCGATTGAAGATGTCAGGCTTCAGAAGACCGGGTCACGTGAGTCTCTTGCAAACAACGTGCTAAAGGAAACGCTGAGTATTGGACGAAGGCTGTGCGTTAGCTTTGCTTTCCCAATCTGTCACGACGTGCTTGTTCGAAATAAAGCGTGCATTTGCCGGGAACGGCTGCGAACACGTCCGAACGTCGCCGGACGGTCAGCAGTACGTTTTGCCGTTGACGTCTCCCTTCCGAATTCAACTTTCTGCCGCCACATGCCCCACGCACACAGCATCAACAGGCCGGAAACAACAAACCAAATCAGCTCGTCGCAACTTCCTACCTTAAGGTTAAAGGTAAACCATGGATCAGGACCGTTTCAAATTGCAAGTGAAGGGCAAAAATGTACCGCAATATCGATGATACAGCGCTCAGCCTTACCAGCGTAGGGGCTCGGTCCCATCGGACCAGCTTGGACAATGGCATCCGATGCGTCCAAAACCGGACGGTCGTTCTCTGTGGCCTCGGCGGCCGCAACGGCGGTGTTGGCAACGGCCTCTGCGGATTCGTTCGGCTCCTCCCCGCCGTCGATGAGCATGCGGCCCCCGGACTGGCGCAACAGGAGCAGCCGCAGGATAACCCTGAAGGAGGAGCGAGGCCGTTACGGAAAAATCAAGTGATAATTTCAATTTCCTCCGTATTTGCGGTTGCAAGGAAGAGAACTGCTCGAAAAGCACACTTCGGATAAGTGTGCATCAAGAGACTCTGCGTCTCAAAATGCAAGGGCCTACAGAGCGAAATGATCTCACAGATACACAAAAAGGGCAGGGGGGAAACCGAAGTGCACTGACTCCAGGTGCGCTCGAGAACACTGTTGGTTCTCCAAACAAGCAGGATGCACAGTCAGCAGCAGATACTCAGCAATTACCTGTTGAGTGACCTTCACTGTCCACTGCCTGAGCTGTCCCCTGATTTACCCTCAAAACAAACAAAACATGCACTTCAAAAGTTCCAATGTTAGAAGGGGCTACTCACTTCAACCCTTCCACCAGGGCCACAATGCCCCACTTCTTCTCCGGCCCCCGGTACTCCTGCGCTGCAGTCTCCGCCAACACTTCCAACTGCCCCACAATCGCCAACAATACCGGCCACGGAAGGCTCTTGTGCGCAGCCACATGTCTCGGAATCGCGTCCGTCACGGGGGGGGGTCCGTGCAGTCCTGGCGGCGGGGGCCCTCTACCCCCCCGCCACGGTTGCGGATGGCCGTGGAAACCGCCAATCGGCCCTCTGTCCGGGAAAGCGCCGTGCGAGGGGGGAGGGGGAAGGGGCACCCGGGGCGCGTTGGGGATGTGGGAGGCGGGGTATGCTTGGACGATGTGCTCGTTAAGGAGCTGGAAGATGCCGAGAAGCGAGGAGACTGCAGAACATGGGGGGACCCGAAGAGTGTTAAGACTGACAAGGACACCCACCACCTTGAAGTAGGCCTGGATCGACTTAAACCGCAAGTATGACTGTTTTCATGCTTTGTTGGAGTAGATCAGGAGAAAGAACAGTGCTGCGTGCTGATGTTCCTAGGAGGGCACATGCTATTTTCAGGCCCGCTTCAGATTCAACTGCAGAATCCTTCTCTGAGGGACAGGAGATCTAGGTGTGCAAGACTTGCTGAACTCACCCTCAGTTAAGCTTCTAAATGGATTTTGATGTAGAAACTGGACACAAAGTACGTTGGCCGCCACTTCTAAGTCTTGCAGCAAATGGTTGGTCCGACTTTTTGGTAAGGATACAAGAGCTTCCCCTTTCTCAAGCAAGTCGTCTTGCCTATACTTCTTATCTTCCAATTGAGGAGTAGTGGAACTTTTGGGGCCAGAATCAACACTGTGGAAAACATATACAGTATGTATGCCTCACCTCCTTCCACTGCAAGTTCTGAGCTTGCAAACCGCTCTGGAAGGACCCATGTCAGGCCCTGAAAAACCGCCAAAGGATTACAGTTTCACTTCCTCCAGATGAATTAGGCACGCCCCAGCAAGACACGCTCCACGGAAATATCTCGATGTAAGATCAAGTGCATCAACCAACAGTGGTTGAAAGGGCCATATCATGAAGTCGAAAGAACGCTAGCTCCTCAAACGCGCAAGGGCGCATCACTGGGATCATCCATGTAAGACACCACTCCCTTCCAATACAGGATTATTTTCTAGCTTCCTTTGAAACTTCCAGCATCAACAGAGTGTAGGAGGCCAAAGAAGTGAGTTTCGTCCAGCTTGAAGAGCAACTCCATATCAAAAGGGGAATTGAGCAGACCGATGTGGAACCTGTCATAACGCTCATCACAAGGAACAGGGGGCTTTGTGAAGCTCACTTGTGCAGCTGACTCAACCGATGTGAGCCATTGGTGATTCTGACGCACAAAAGTCTTGTACGCTTCCCACAAGGACGTCATCGCAGAGGCCACCACCTTTCAGATAAGTTGATTCCAGGTCTGACTCCTCAAAGGGTATAGTCTGGCATGATCAAACAAATTATGAGCTGCTCTTAAGATCTCATCCGCCGCCGCTTTCAGTTTTATCTTGCAATGCCGCCGCAGTCACGTACTAAGGACCCTGGGGACTGTCCTGCAGTGGGGGTTCTACAATTCAGACCCTGGCCCTGGGATGTGGCAGCGCTTCTTCGCTCCGATTGTGTGCCCCCACCTTGCTGGGCCCCGTCTTCGTTCTTCCTGTCCTTGTCATCAAGTTCAGTTGCAATTCAGTAGATATAGCTGCCCGTTCTCCAAAATAAGCGGAATTTCTGAACGTACTTTCACGTATCGCTGCTTGAACCGAAATGTTTACCATGGAAATTCACATAAGAGCATTTCTGTGGCGCATAAGCGGACTTTCATGGTACAGAAAGCCACATGATGTTCAGTGGTATTGACATTGTGCAGCCAGCTCAGCAATCTGAGCTGCTTCTGCTTCCAAAGTCCCATGCTCCTTTGCACTGCCAGAAAGGAGGAGTACAGGTCTGCATTCTGGTGGTGCACCTTGAACGAAGGCTTCCTTTCCATATTACCGTGGTATGTGCAGTACAAACCTCACCACCAACTTCCTGGCGAGAAGCAGAACGCTCTCGTTCTGGAAAGTCGTCAAGAGCTTGCCAGACTGTACAGACAAGACTTCTGGTTCAAATCAAACTTCAGTAGGGCTTTTGTGTTCCTGTCTCTGTCCCAAATGCATTCCTTTTTGCCAACGCTGCGTCACTTTTAAATTTTGAACCTATCTGCATCACTTCAAGAATGGGAGACTCTGCGCCTGACGATAGGGAAGGTGCTGGCGGTGCAATGGAGGGCCAGGAGCAAGGAGGCCCCTCAGGCGCCGCCGCAAAGCATCCCGCTCTGGAGCACAAGCTTCCCCTTGCGCGAGTGAAACGGTTAATCAAAGCAGAGTCGGATGTAACGCAGTTGACAGCGGAAGCGGGGGCGCTTATAACAAAGGCCACGGTGAGCCCCTGTCATTGAGCTGCCCTCATCGAAGAGTGCAATAGGCCCTGTGTCAAAGGTCAAACTCCTGGAGTATGAGGACGGGGTTTGCGGTCGCTTGTGACAATCTACTGCATTTCTGAAACTCCAGAGTAGAGCAACAGGGGATGCTGCTTCCACCAGGGCAGTCGGAAGTCAAGCATGATGTTACGATCACTTAATGCATCCTCCAGGCCTTGGGCTCAAGCAAACACAGGGGGTGGTCTGCAATCCTTCATGTGACGCATTGAGATTCTATCTTCTGAACTGAGGTTGGATTGGAAACTCCTTATCTTTCACTGATGGGGGGTAAAAAGAGAAACCGTGTTAGCTTTGAAGAATGTCAAAGAGAAACCCAGCTTTGGTGAGATTTCTTTGGCTTTTGCTGAAAGGAGGCTTAAAGAGACTTTCAGCTGATTGGGCTTCGACAGGAAACCAGTTGAGTGGCCTTCAAATGGTTCCTTACGATTGCGGTATAGTTGCCTCAATCAGTTGAAAGCATCTTGATTTGCACCCACAGAGAAAGTTTCATTTCTTCCTTTTCTGCCATGAGTTATTGAGAAGTTCTATAGGGATAGTTTTTGATGGTTTGCACTAGATTCAAGTACTTTTTCATCTGTTCATGTTGAAGGCTGCATCACGACCCGCTCATAAAGATCCGCTTGGTGGACTGGACTGTGCATTTAAGATCAGGGTTTCAAGATCTTTGATGGGGTGCGTTTGGGATGGAATCAAGCAATTCACTACCATCCGTGAGTTAGTATCGGTTTTGCTCAATCAGAGTTGGCTCTTTTCTCAGGAACTGTTCTTAGAAAAGTTGGCGACGCAAGCGGCGCGCCACATGGTTGACGACAGCCGGGTGACCCTCCGGTACAAGGACGTGTGTAAGTGGACACGTGTAACTACAAGTTGTGCGATGTCAAGCACGCACTCAACCAATGGATGCGACAGATTCCTGTTGTTTCCCGCGTTTGAAGCCACTTTCCTTAAAGCGCTTGCCGCTTGATCATATAAGCTGGGGTTTTCAAACCTTTTTCCATGAGGATAGAAAAGTTAAGTTGAGGCATCTTTCCTGTCATGAGGATTGCAAGAGAGGTCCGTTTTGGCTTTTTGCTCGAAGCTTTTTCCTGGTGATGAACATTCTAGATTTGTCAAAGTGTTCTACACAGCGAAGACTTCGTTATATTACAAACAGAGAAAGCCTGCTTTGCTGACTCTCATTTCCTCTTCCACAGCTACTACCGTAAAAGAAGAAGACTCTCTAGAGTTTCTCCGAGGTAAAGACCCCTTGCGACCCACCAGTCTCGACAGCATCTGCTCTTCTCTGTATGTAGAGTTGCGTCAAGAGAAGCTTCAAATGTCAGCACATGTTTAAAGCGGAAGCTGCGTTGCACAGCAGGTTCTGATCAGGCTCTATGCTTACCAATTGCAAGCATGGATGAACATACAGGGCTTCCAAATCGTCTAATGAGTCTGTCCGTTTTGAGCAGATATCACCCCTGAGCCACTCACCGCTATCCAGCTAGCAGAGGGCCCAGAGAACGGAGAAATAGACGAGGAGAGCACGGACGAAGACGATGACGAGCTTGCGGAAAACGAGAATGACGAACGGACTTGAGACGAAAGATGTGTTGATGATATAAATGATTGTGTCGGTGGTCCCCGCTGGTTTCTGTCGTGATCTAAGCAACGTCTTGTTTGTACTTTCGTAACTGCGTCGGCTCTCTTACCAACTTCTCGTCAAGAATTTTTCGGTCGAGTTGCAATGCACATTTCGGTTTTGGGCGCTAAACTTAATTACCGGTCAGTCTCACTTTGTGTGCCTCGCAAATCCAAGCTTAAGCTAGCAGCCAGTGCCGCCGGCATCTAATACACGAAGGCCAACGAGATGTGATTAACATGCAATCATGGGACTTAAGGGGCTCTCATATGTATCTGTACGTACCATGCCGACGTGTGTGTCACATATGCATGAACTCAAATCTCTAGCACGGACTCGATGCTGTATAGAGTGATAGCCATGCCGAGAAAAAGCTGCACATGCATATATATATGTCGCCTCCTTCATGGTCCGCATGCCAGCTGGCCATAACTATTTAAAGATGCAAACGCAACTTAAGTACATGCTGAACCAACGGCTATATTGATCTTGACTTATACCGTCCTAGATAGTGCGAGCTGCATTAAAGTTCTGGACTTACTATGATGATACAAAAATGAAGAGCTTTGGCAACCTGTTCTTTCGTTTCCCCATGACACAGATATTTGGCTTTAGCTGTCATTCCTCGTAGTAGACACCGCTCATGCAGGCACATTCTTTGTTGACCTGCGGGCCCACTGTTTTCCAGGATAAGTGTGGGCTTTTAAAGACGCTCGCGCTTACTTCCTTTCCTCTCCGCAGCTGATCCAGCTCAGTTCCTACTGCGGCGACTGACTGGCGGCGGCGGCGGGGCTTTCGGCGTCTCGATGCTCGTATCTGACGCGATGCTCGCTGTGCGGCTCAACGAGGCCCGGGGCGAGTTACCAAACAGCCGGGGCGTCGTACTAGGGGGGTGCGGGGACGAGGCGCGCCGCGGGGTCCCGTTGGTCGATTGGCGGGGGGTTGGCCGGGGGGACGCGGCCCGCGCCCAGCTGGGCCGCTGCGCCGGCGCTGACGTCTCCGCTGACGTCACCTCGGGCACGTACATGTCCTCGGGCCTGGCGGCCTTGGCTTCGTTGTGCAGCTGCTCCAGCGTTTGGACGACGTCCGCCATGAGCGGCCGGAAGTCTGCTTCCGGTTGGACGCACATGGCAGCGATGGCTGCCAGCTGGCAGACGACGCGGTCGGTGTATTGCCCCGAGACGGCGGGGTCGACCATGGCGTGGATCAGCCGGCGGTCACTCAGTTGGGGGGACGCCTGCGGGGAGGAAGAGAAACTCTTAAATTTCAAATCCTGGGCTCAAAAGCTTTTGACCAAACTTGAAGCTTTGCAAGCTGCGGAATTGGAAGTACAGGGGTGACTTGAGAAGTTCGATTTGGCGTGGTCCACTTTTGGTTCAAGCTCGTATGCAGAATCAAAAAAATTCAAGGGTCGACTGTGGAAACGTCAAGAGAACGCTTGGACCTCTTTTCTGCATTCCCCGTGGACGCGACGCCGGCTTTGACGGCTTAGCTTCCCGAGTGTTCTTATGCGGTGAATTTTGTCCAATATCCAGGTTGGTCGTCCTGTCCGGTTACTTCGGACTTCTGGAAAGGCTGTCTGCACTCACCCACGTCACCAGACTCTGCTTCCCCGGCGGCAGCGTCATGTCCACCGGCTTCCTTCCCGTCAGCAACTCAAGCAACATCACCCCAAAGCTGTACACGTCGCTCTTCTCCGTCAGCTGACCGGTCATGAAGTACTGCAGACAAAAAGCGCATTCGATTATGGAAATGCCTTGGAATCTATTCTCGCACATGAATCATGATGCTTCTTCAAGTTCAGCGCCCCACATTCATCCTCTTAAGGTGCAAAGACGAGAGAAAGGCTGAAGGAAGACGACATAGAACATGAGGATCGATTTCTTGTTGCGGGATGACCTTTGAGAGGCTGCCTCACTTCGGGTGCGACGTAGCCGAACGTGATTTGCATGCTCGTCTGGAGATCCTGCCCCTCCGGTGCGATGAATACTTGGCCGTAGTCCGACACCTGCGACATGAAAAGAGCTTCGGCTAGACGGGTGACGAGCTGTTCGCGATCACACGCATTCGGTCTCTACTAAAACTTGGCTATCAGCGGTAATCAATTGAGTAACACGAGCCGTTGTCTGTGTGAAGGAATTGCTCAAAGACTTCGAATTGAAGAAGAAAGCGTTCAGCGTACACCAACTATCATTTCCAACTTTTAAAAAGGAAGGACTCATCTTGCTGATGCTGGACCTTGGTGGCACCCCGAAAATCTCTTTTTATCAGTCGATATCCAAACTCTGAAATAGCATCGCTTGATTGACGCAGCTTTAATACATTGTCATGACTCGAGAAAGGATTCTGATAAGCGTGGTTGAATTGCGAAAATCTTACCTTCGCGGTGTAGTCTCTGGCCAGCAGGACGTTGCTGCTCTTGAAGTCGCGGTGGATGACGGGAGGGAAGCACGTGCCGTGCATGTACTGCAGTCCCCGGGCGGCATCCAACGCAATCTTCAGCCGCGTCGTCCACAGCAGATCCTTCTTCTTGTCCGGAGAACCTGCTCACTAAAGTTTACGGTCAGCCGTCCCAGTCGTGGGAGAAGTCAAGACTCGCATATAGAATACCAAGAGTGAGCTTGTGAGCCGTTCCTTGGTCATTGATCTTCTTGTATTCACTTTTGACGAAGGTTCGGGAGCAATGAAGCGATGGTGGGTCAGCCTTGCGCTTCGATTTGCTGCCTCACAAAGCGCCGCAGGTACAATCCGTGGGTACCATCAAAACGGCTGATTGTCTCTCGTCGATTACATAACTTGAAATTACCAGCTCGACTACGAGAACCATTCCTAACCTTGCAGAACATTCGGAGATTCGGGGCCCTTACCGTGCAGCCGATCCTCCAGGTTTCCGTTGGGCATCAGCTCGTAGCAGAGGAACTTGCTATTCTTCTCGAGGCAGAAACCGAGGAACAGGACCAGGTTGGGGTGCTCCATGCGGCTCAGCTTCTCCACAGCAACCTGCAACAGTACGACAGATGTTTAAGCGGAGTGTCTTGCAAAGTGTTGACAGGAATTCAGGCTCGGTAGGAAAGCGATTGATGCCAGGCCTCTTATGTTTTCGAGTAATATTTGCAGGATGAGCATAAGAATCCTCAAATCGGCGATGCTGCTGGCTTTGTCCAAAGAAAACAAAACGGAAAACGAAGGCGAGAATTGGCGGCCTTCGTTTGTGGCATTTAGGATAACGAGCGTCCTGCGTACTATTTTGTGCTCTCTAAGTCCAACATACGGACAGCCGGGAGTTGGATGCTTATCTGACCTTAAACTCTTGTTGCCCCTGGTGTTCATTCTTGCTGAGCTTCTTGATCGCGATGGCCGTCCCATCATCCAAAGTACCCTTGTACACACGACCGAAGCCGCCTTCGCCCAAGAGATTGCCGGCACTGAAGTTGTTGCTGGCAACCTGCAAAACAGCACAGGAGTTTGTCAAAGCGCAGGAACACTGGCTGCTTCTCGTTCCATTATTCACCAGTTTTGAGATCTGAAGTTACTGAGTCGGTATGAGCATCAGGACATAGTTGCAATGGGACGCAGATTCAACGAGTGATTACGGCCGAATCGTCATCAAGGCATCCACCTTAGCTTAGCCTCCGCTCGAACGTCCGTAATCTTGTTGCAAGTATTGGAAGTAGGACTCCCGAGCATCCCCAGGTTTTATATTTGGGGGGTTAGCCCTTAGCCCGCAGGCTGGGAGGGGGTGCACGCTCGGCGGAAGTGCTTGGTGTTACCGAAGCGTACAATTTCTGCCGGGTTGAGACAATTATGTACCCAACTCTTGCGCTTTCTAGCACTCAAAAAAGGATCCGGGAACGACCGGACCCCCGCCTGAGAGTGTCCCCCCACGAAGTCAGGAGCTCTAAAGGGCTTGTCCGTACCTGCACGTACAAACTTGACGACCATACACCGTCAGATCTACACGAGCATCCCAGGTAACGCACCTGAAGTTCGCTGAAGTGGAACTCGTCTACGTTTTCTGCCAAGGCGGGGCCTTGTGGGTTTGCCTGGGCAACCGGTGCAACCGGCCGGACCGTTGCTGGCGTGCCGTTCGAAAGCGCTCGAGCGGCACCACCTGCGGATAAACATTCTTTGATTATGCCTCTCATAAAACGCAAGTAAGGAATTTAAGGACTCCAGAATCCTTATGTTCAGGACTCAGCGTTTCCAACATCGTCGAGAAGTCTTTGATCCCATCTTTGTTGAAACAAGCTCTCCGGGGCGTTTCCTCCTCTCTTTCTTAGCTTACACAGCATGTGCGTCTAGCTGAAGCGCTTCGTCACCAATTGCTGTCTCAAAAAGGGAGCAGCGAATCGCCATCCGCTTCCTCCCAGAACCTTTGTGCTCGGCAGGAACGTGGTCACGCCTTACGACGCAGGTCTAAATGTTCTGCGAAAAGTGGAACATGCAAGAAGTGATTAGAACTTTCCGAAAGCGACTTGAACCCGTTTCGGACGCTTACCCGCCTCTGGGCCGAGCTTCTGGGGAGGCGACGTCAGGGCCGGCGCCGGGACGGATCCCCGCCGCACTGCCTTGCGCAGCTCTGCGCGCGGGCTGAACGCATACCCGCCCTTTCCCTTCCCCCCTTTGAAGAACCAGAGGGCCAGTCCGACCAACAGGCCAATGACGACGAGTGGAACGATGACAGCGATGGCGACGATTGCGCCGGTGCTCAGGCCGGAACTCGAGCCGTCGGATGAGGAGGGTGGGGTGGGGCTAGACGGAGGGGTGGGAGTGTTTTGTTGAGGGGTCGGAGGAGTTCCAGGGGTTGTCGGGGATGGGGTGGCTGCTGTAGGTCAGAAGAGACCAGCGGAGTCATTAGCTTCGGATTCTGGCACTGAGAATTTGTTGACTGAACGAAGAGATAGTGGTGACGCGAAACAGATCCTTCCGGTTGTTGCTCGAAGCCAGGTCCCGTCGATTGAATCGCCCTATTGAGCAGGCAAAGTGTTTGCACTCTGCTTCAACACAGACCCTTTCAAGGTCCACTGCCCTGCGCAATCGTCTGCCGGCTTTTCTTTTACCTCCAAAAAACTGGACAATTGAAGGTATGGAAGATTCGTGGATTAGAAAACTTCTCGAGGACAGGGAATCAACGCCACCTCTTGGAAGCTTACTTGGAGGAGGTGGAGAAGGAGGTAGCGTTGGTGCCACGCTGCCTGCGTTCGTGAAGGTCACGAACTGATACTGGCCCCAGTCGGACGGGAAGCTGAACTGCGATGACGTCAGCTTGTTTTTGATGCTGGTCTGTGTGGTCGAGTCGAGCTGGGTAGCACCACTGCCAGGTAGGGGCAGGAGTTCGAAAGTTACCGTCAAGGGTGAATACGTCTGACCGGCCAGTCGCACCTGCACAAAGATTTGCCCTCTTCAACTACCGTTTATGACGAATCATGCAGCTCTCAGGTAGGATGAGCAAGGATGGCAGCTTGTCTCAGTCCTTGGTTGCATAACACGGCCTTTTTATGCATTCAAAAGCAGCTTCGAAGCAGCAGCTAGCATCCATTTGAACAATCGCGACCTTTGTAAGGCCTCAACGAGCCATTTCTTCTGACAGGCAGTTTGATAAAGATACATGCTGAGGTGTAGTACTCTGGCTTTTAGCGCGGGTCTCTTACAAAGGCTGCTTGCAAGTGCAGTTGATAGTTCTCCTATGGAATTTCTGACGCATCAAGAGACTTACCTGTCCTGGCTCCAGGCCTGCTGTTGATTTGAAGTTGCTTTGCAACTCACGTTGCTGGTCCGCCTGGAACGCGCTTGAATCAGCAATACCCGGGAACTTGATCTGGACAACTGCGGCATATACACAAGGACATGACCCGTCTACGCTGGCCACTTGATTGGTGGGGCACGGTGAACAACCTGCAATACAAGGGAGCCGGGTCATCATGTGAAACATGCAGGGCTTGAGAGAACTTCTCCTTGACAATATTTGAGCCAGTGGAAGGGCTAAGAAGAGATTTGAAATCGTCACAAGTGGTCGAAAGTCAACGATGTTACACTGGGTAAAGGGAGTCAACAAATTCGACAAATGTGAGATCAGCTACAGCTCTACGGACTTGCAAATGCTTCGCAGCTCAATGCACAGAATAGTCGCAGCTGTGGACTACCAGTTTCAAAGGGTCCTTTGAAGAACACAAAGTCTCTGCCTGTCTTAAAAGCTTGGTGAAAGTCAGCTGCTGATGAGAAACTGTCTACCAGAGTGTCCAGAAGACACTTGCGTTGAGCTTCGGTCCATCCTATTGAAGATCTCTGCGAAGCATTCACCCACTCCTATGCACGGTCTCAATGTTACTCAGGCCTTGGACTTGATCTGTAGATAGAGGGTCTCAATCTACAGAGACCCTGAGTACCAAAGTGGCCCTGATTGGTTAGTTGTTTCCTCATGCTTTCGCGGCCTTGAACCTGATCGGCTGAGGGTTGAAACCTCTTTCTTCACCTGCTAGAAGGTGCCTTCCACCGGCGCTGATTCTCCTATCTCCCAAAGGGCCGGCTTGCAAGTCCTCAGCATTGCTACTCCAACAGCACTGCCCAATCAAGAGGATTGTCAGAAAAGCCGCAGCTTTGATACAAGGGTCTGCCATCCTTCCTTCTGCAAGTTCCTCTTGTCACCACTTGCGTCGTCTTCTTACATCCAACTGCGAAATGCCTGGCGCTTGAAACCTCTTGCAGGTCCCCTGCAACCTACGTCAGTACTGTCTTCTCTCGTTGTTTTCACAATGCTGTGAGCAATCAACAGCATTTCGTTCACAATGCTGGCCCCTCCATTAGCCTCGATCTTGTTAATCTGGTTTCATATGAAGTCTTTGAAAGTCACGTCTGGTCCAATGCTGGTCGCTTTCACGTCCTTATTATCATAGCAAACGTTCAAAATGCGATTGCACAACCTCATGACATTATGAGGGATCACGAACGCCACACATGGGCGTGCACCTCCAGCATCTTTTCCCTTGGACGTTCGCAAAAACAGAACCTGCAGAGCCAACTTGGTGTGGCTGCCTCAGCGCAAAACGCAATGCTGCCGCGAAACAATTGTGTTGCGTGATTTTCTACCCAACCTGACCACCAGTCGTTCTGGTCAGGTTGCGCGAACTTGAATCGCTCAGCAAATGTACCGGCCGCCTGCTTCTTCCTCATCCAACGAAAATGCTTGGGGGCGACCACAATGGCTGTATTGTGGATTTGAGTGTCGCTGGAAAACGGCTGAATTTGTGCGCGCGCCGATCTGGTAAGGCACCGCAGGTACCGAACCGGACTCTTCATGCAGGTTTGCATGCGTGGCACAGAGTCGGGTGCACGAGGGACAGGGCATCCAGCTCAAATACAGAAAAGGTGGCCCAGACTCCAGAGCATGGTTGCAATGCGCGCAAGGGACCCAGCGGAGGGAAGAGTGGAGATATCCTTTTTGCTCCAAAGCTGCAGGAAGCGAGAGAATAGCCAATGAGTTGCACATAGAAGGATGCAAAGCGGGTTCTTAATTGGCCCAGGGATTCTCAAGGAATTCTTTTTGCAAGATACCCAAAAGGTGGTGCAGAGACTGCTTTGCTGAACTTTTATTGCAAGAGAAGTCCAGTTGACCTTCTACTGAAGTGTCTTGAACGAGCTGGCAGGAGCGGCCCGCGCTGCTCTTTGTCATGGGGGCGGCTCAGCTGCTCCTTCGGGCAGCACCGTTGATTGGCATGCGATACAGCGCAAAACAATGCAACCTGGAAAGGGTTCTTCTAGCAGCTGCCGTACCACTCTATGCGGTAAGATATGTTGGAGCTCTGGATGGCAGCATGAAGGATTGTGGTGACTTGAAATTCAGTTCAAGAAAGTGAGGCAGCTTTGATTTGGGCAGCCTGTTCCAAGTGGGGTGAACTAACACACCCAGGTGGAAAGTGGGCGCTTGCTTCTGGCCTGCCATGGTGGCCATTTGCTTAGAACTGGCAAGAACTGCTGCAAAGATAAACCCATGCTGAATCACATATCTGCCTCTTATTCATCCAAACCTTCTTTTATTAGAAAAGTTTCGAACATCAGGAGCTGACTGCAGAAGCTGCTTCTTCACAGGCGTCCCAACGCCCCTTCCCGCTGCCTTTGTGGCGAGCCTTTTCAACAGCTGACGCCGCAGCAAGCAATGATGTTACTGTGGAAAGGTCTTTGCCAGAAAGGCCTGCCATTGTACAGATGCGTGCAGTCAAAGAGTCAGCGATGGCAATGGGGGGGCCTGCACGCATTCAAAAGCAGCACAAATCAGGCAAGGTAGGAAGTACATGAAGTCAAAGGAAATGGCCCCTGCGTCTCGCAAACCAGCAAAGGGGCTATTGTGGACCAGTCAGAGTATACTAGTTGCATCTATAGCCTGTTTAAGTCTTCATGGCAGTGGATTGCATCTATAGCCTCTTTAAGTCTTTATGCAGTGCATCCACTGGTTTGCGGGGACACTACATTGACGAGGAAGGATCATCGTCCATCTCTTAAAACGATGTCGAACTCTCCCTGCAGTTGACGGCCCGGGAGCGTGTCCAAGCGTTGCTGGATGAAAACTCCTTCCTTGAGATGGGTAAGTAAGTTCTTACGGTGGTGTGACAGTACCTGAAAGTTCATGGTCTGTCTAAATCACTGGTTTGCTGGCATTGGGCAATAAGTCAGCCCCCTAGCCATGTGTAGGAGCCCTTTGTGATGAACACTGGAATATTTGTCCCTTGTGCTGTAGATTTCTTTAATCCAAAAACTCAAACGGGCCTGGTTGGCTTTACAACAAGCAACATTGTGCTCGTTGTTTTAAACTGCGAGAACGTGCATCAGAGCTGTTCCAAATTGTGTCAGGATATCCTGAGCTGTGTGGATTGCGGCTGCAGGCCAGCTAGTTCAACATCGATGCCGAGATTTTGAGATGGACAAGAAACAGTATCCAGGCGATGGTGAGGCTTTCTGCATTTCTTGTTGACCATGCGGAAAATATAGCCAGTGCTCCAAATACAGTGCAAGTTTGCAGGTTTGTTGAGCAGAAAAAGGATTGAATGATTGTAGGCAGCTTTAAGTATGTGCTTGAAAGGGGAGGTTACTACACAGGCTAAAGAGACTAGATGTCGGCAGTCAGGTGATTGTGCTATTTTGATCCACTTTTCTCCTGCTGAGCAGGGGTCGTCACTGGAAGTGGCCTCATCAATGGAAGGCCTGTCTTTGTCTTCAGCCAGGACTTCACCGTGTTTGGAGGGAGCTTATCCGAGACACATGCCCTCAAGATCTGCAAGGTACGGGAGGTTACTTCGATATGCTGGAATCGAACATTTTCAAAGGCTGAGGATGGTTGAAAGGCATGCTAATGCAAGAAGACAACATGAACTTAAATCTCGATCTAAGCGGGGGGAAAGGGCATCGAGTCTTCATGACCTGAAATCAGTTGAAAGCGTTCTGCCAAAGACGTCATCTTTCTTGACAGGCTGCCCCATCGTTCTGGATCCTACGTTTTACTGGAACCATGACCTTGTGAAGACGTGCTTGTGCAGGTTCTAGACAAAGCCATGCAAGTGGGAGCCCCGGTGATTGGACTCAACGACTCTGGAGGGGCGCGAATCCAAGAAGGTGTTATGTCACTGGCTGGCTATGCAGACGTCTTCCAGGTAAGCTTAAGGCTCCCTAGCTGCTACAACAGCTTTGACCAGATAATTTGACTGTCACCTTTTTGGCAGATCTTTGCTATCTTTTGTTCACTTTCTTAGGCATGTGAAATGTAAGACTCCAAGTTAATTGGCTGACGATAGCTGCAATTCGTTTTTCGAAAGCAGATTGGAGTTCGTTAAGACAGGTGCTGATGATACAAATTGCAATGCTGTCGTCGTTAATCATGTTATGAACGGAAGTTTGGCCGCTAACCGGGAGCCTTTTCGTTGGTCGTGCAGAGGAACGTCCTTGCTTCTGGTGTTGTCCCCCAGCTTTCCATGATCATGGGGCCTTGCGCAGGTAAGGGCGCCGCCCCCCGCCCTATCTCCCCATATCCAAAAGTAGATCGCTGGCCTCCCTGTACAACTCAAGCCGTCACTAGCCACAAAAACTATTATTGTGCACGTGAGCTAGTGTGGTCCGATCGGCCAGTCCAGAGCCGGTCTTTGCCTTGCGAAGCTCCACCTCTGCTTGATTCCCCGTGTCTAAAGGACTTTAGTTGCTTAGTTCCTCGTTTCATGTCTGCCCGTAGAAGCGAGCACGTTCCCACATCCGTTTGAACACGCTTTCACTCAGATTTTGAACTTGACTACTCTTTGTTTGCAGGCGGTGCCGTTTACTCCCCTGCTCTGACAGACTTCACGTTTATGGTCCGAGGCACTTCTCACATGTTCGTCACCGGTCCGGACGTCGTCAGGTCGGTCACGGGGGAGACCGTTACACAGGTACGATGCTGATCCTTCGCCGCAGTTACTCTTCAATCATGTGATATCGTTACGAAGCATTGAGAACCGTTATGAGTCTGGAGCAAATCTGTAACCGCCGGAGGGTCGATTGGTAAGTATGAGGTTCGATATTGGCGATGCGGTCGAAAACCCCAGTTGAGAACCGATTGGCTTCCTCGCAGGCTCATTGAGTCTCCATGTCGTCTGTCCAGTATCCCCTCCCCGCTTCCCCTCCCCGTTCCTATTTTCCGCTTCCGTTTTCCCGCTTCTATCGTCCGCTTCTCTTCCCCGTTCCTTTTCAGTTTCCTCGTGTTCGCTTCCTTTCCCCCTTCTTTCTTCCGCTTCCTTTCCCGCTCTTCTTTCCCGTGTCCTTCCCCGCTCTGTTCCCCATTTCTGTACCCCGTCTTTCTGGATGCTTCTCGGCCCCAGCTTCCTTACCCGTTCTCTCTTCCCCATCGCCTTCCAACTTCCTATCTCTTTCCCAAACGCCTCGTCCGCATGTCTGTCCTTTTCAGGAGGAGCTCGGCGGCGCCGATTCCCACACCACCAAGTCAGGCGTCGCTCACGGCGCTTGGAACAACGAGCTAGACGCCCTCGCCGCCTTGCGACAGCTGTTTGACTACCTGCCCCTGTCCAACCGGGAAAAGGCGCCGCAGCTTCTAAGCCTGGACCCAGCGTGAGCTCCTACTTTGTCTCGTTTGTCCTTGTGTTCCCGGAACGTCCATTTGCGCGTCTTCTCGCGCGAGCCTGCGATATAGCCGCCACGGGGCGGCGCAAAGCCAAGTATTCCTCTGCAGGTTGCTTGCGAAGTGCTCGGCAGATGCCGATCGATCTTGACCTGTTTGTCGTGCACATCGTGCAACGACGCAAAGCCGCAAGAGGAGTAAGCGGGGGCTGACAACTTTTAGGCGGTGACCTGCAACGGGCAGTACCTTTCCTAAGATACCGACCAAGTCAAGATCGTATTCAGCGCAACGGAGAAGCTTTGCTGCGGTTTCCGACGGCGACTCGCCCCCTCCGTGCAGTAATCGCGTGACCCCCTCCTTGGACCTGGTCGTTCCCCGGGACACTAACGTCGCCTATGACATGCACGAGGTCCTCGAAAAGGTTGGTGTGACACCCTGTTCCTTTCAGGACCTGCAAGTCGATCCATTCTGACGTTCTGAAGTCTGAGCCACATTGTCAATGGGGGCCGCCCTCGGATGCAACTCTTAGCTTGGCACTTTCTTCTTGAGACTGGATTGACGAACTTCGCGAATGTCTCGAGGCCTTCCAATTTGCGAACATGTGCCGCTGTATCAGTGACAGGTCTGCCGCCAATGCGAGATGAAGAGAACGTTCCAAAAAAAAGCATTGAGACGGATTACGCCTGCTTGACAGTCCTTGCTGACGTTGTACCAGATGGCTAATCTGATCAACGCCTTGCGTGTACTTTCTGAACAGGTTCTAGACAACGGAGAGTTGTTCGAGATCATGTCGGACTACGCCAAAAACATCATCGTCGGGTTCGCGGTACGTCCGTCACAGTTTGTCCGTTCCCGGATCGATCCCTTGCCGAGGATTGGCACTCTTATTCGCTTTCAAAACTTGCTCGAAGCACTTTGCTTATCACAAGAATGGCTTTGATGTCTGTAATGAGTAACGATCTGGAGTGTTATTGATACACGCAATGTGAATTCGGTGCAAATCCCGAAGGCCTCCGAATTCCCGTTTGCATGCCACTGCACCACTTATCAAGCTCTGCCTCTTCCGTAGTTCTTTGCGGGCGGTCCCTGGACTTTGTTTGCTGGGCGTATCGATTCCTACATAAATGCGGACTCTGCAAACCCGCTAACTGAATGAAGTCGTTGTGCAGAGGATGGAAGGGCACACTGTTGGGGTTGTTGCCAATCAGCCGATGGTCCAGGCCGGGTGCCTCGACATCGACGCCTCCGTAAAGGTGAGCCTTAAAGGACGTTGTTGCCAATCTCGACCCGCGTGATCTGCCTGAGGGTGAGCTCAGGTAAAATAGCCTCCTAGGACTGTCTGCCGTGTTCTGCCATCCTAAAATTGACCGGCTCCCTGTACCGCAAACTCTCTGAGTGATTGTTGATGACCGCGCACACAACACTCAGTCAGCTCTAAAATTGCCCGGGAGGGTTTCGAAGCTGGAGATTTTTCCCACGAACACGCTTCAGAGACCATGTTTTTCAATCTTTCTTCACCTTCATGAACGGAGAAATCACGAAGGAGGGAGGAGCCTCAGCTGACTGCCCGCTTCCGGTCTGTCGCAGGGCGCCCGCTTCGTCCGCTTCTGCGACGCCTTCAACATCCCGCTGGTGACCTTCGTTGACGTGCCGGGCTTCCTGCCAGGTACTGGCGCGCCGCGTTTCCGTGTTTTTATCTGATGCTTCATGCCCCTAAAGTGATGCTTCTTACAACAGGAGCATCGCCAGGGTGTTTGGTGGCGGTTGTGACAGGATATCCTTCCAGAAGCATAGGAGTATCTTCTGCGTGCCTTGCCGGCAAAGCGAGAAGCGGTAGTTCCTGAGAGGATTGCAACTCTGAGCTCTCCTTGCGGAAACTGGATGACGCACCCAAGCTGATGGCGGGAAGTTCTCGGGCGTGAGACTTCATCACCGTAGCTACCTGAGAATGCGCTCAAACTAGATAGTCCGTTGGCAAAGTCTGCCGTCTTTCCTACGGAAGAAGCATACCGTCCTTGTTGCGGGAACCGGCCAGGAGCACGGGGGAATCATCCGGCACGGCGCAAAGCTGCTGTATGCGTGATTCGAAACTGCATATGTCAGCTGCCTGAGAATGCAAATCTAATCAATACCTAATCGTTGAGATGTGCCGTGCTTCCGTCAAAAAAACAGCATTTCGTCCTTGGTGCAGGAACCGGGCAGGAGCACGGGGGGATCATCCGGCACGGCGCGAAGCTGCTGTATGCGTACGCCGAAGCCACGGTGCCCAAAGTGACGGTCATCACGCGGAAAGCATACGGCGGTGCTTACGATGGTGAGCCCGACGAGGCTGCAGGCTGTAGTCTCCTAGTATCTTTGATGAGGCACTGTGCCAAGGTTTGGCTTCAGATGCGGTTCAGGCTTCGAAGCTATGGTCGCTTTCCGGTCATATTCCACCTTTCGTGGTCCAAAGGCCTTGAACCGGTGAAGACAACGTGGACAGTTTCTTAGGACAATCATAAGTCTCCTGCAGTTTCTTAGGACAGTCGTAATTCTCCTGTGGCCTCGATTCATTTCGCGCATTTCATCATAGAGCTTCCGATAAGGCTGCTTCTTTACAGCCTGAGCATCTGGACTGGGGCCAAACGGGTCCATTACCATCCGAATTGCAGGCCACGCGCAGGCTGTCTGGCACAGTGGACTCACTCCCCGGCGCTTACTCCTCTTATGCAGTAATGAGCTCCAAGCATCTGCGAGGTGACGCCAACTTCGCCTGGCCGACGGCTGAGATTGCGGTCATGGGCGCCAAGGTGAGAGCGCTCACGTACTTGCTGCTGTGCGGGGTGATTGACTTGTACAGATGTCACGCCTGCCCAATGACGCCAAATTAAGAAGAGGAGACAAACTCTAACGCAGCGATCTTTGTAGAAAGATTGACGACTGGGTCAACCTTGACGGCAAGAAGGCTGACAGATCGTCTTATGCGAAGGCAGAAGACGGAAGTAACCTGTCGACGGGCCGCTCTAGGCAGTGAGCGAGCGATGTCCCCTAGCGAAACGAGAGACGAAGCTTTCACATTCAGGGTTTTGGCTCCGGGCTCTCGGATCCGTTTGGCAGGGAGCTCGAAGATGTTAGATGAATGGTACTCTCGTTAAATTGCCGCCTTTTTATGATCCTCTTCTCCTTCTTAAGAATCTTCGAGCCGATCATTCGGATATGCTCTGTCATTCTCAAAACACGTCGACTAGCTTTCTGACGTCAACAGCACGCATTCCTCCCTACAGGGGGCGGTCGAGATCTTGTTCCGGGGCAAGCCGGCTTCGGTCATCGCAGAGGAGACGCGCCGTTACGAGGAGCGGTTCGCCAATCCATACGTTGCGGCTGGGTACGGGTTCGTGGATGACGTCATCCTGCCACGTGACACCCGCGCGCGCATCTGCAAGGAGCTGCGGGTGTTGCAGACCAAGGTGCTTTGAAAGATTCGGCTGCAATTATGATAAGAACACATAATTGCTGGCCCAGGAGCGCGTGCGATTATGCGAACGAGAGTACGAATGCTTGCCTAGTCGGTCCCAGTCGGTCAAAGCTCTTTAAAGTCTGAACTCTCACCAAAATCTTGCTTTGACGGGGTATAATCCTACTTTACTTGCCGTCTTGGACAAAGCTGTGCGAAATAAAAACTGTCGGCGGACATTCTCCAGCGTCCTTCGAGATGTCGGCCCGAGTCGACGCGTCGTGCCGTGTTGATATCCAAGACACTTTTGCTTACCGTTTTGACTTTTGTTTTGCAGGCCCTAGAAAATCCATACAAGAAGCACAGCAACTGTCCACTCTAGGCGAGCATTCTTCAGGACTCCGGAGCTCTCCGAGTCGCCCGCTTTTTGGCTACGGTTGAGATCATTGGTGGCGGACTCGGTAGTCCGGCGGCCATGTACATACATGTAGAATCAGAAGAGATGATCGAGCATCTGCTGGTGGGATTTAGGTGACAAAATAGGGCTGTGCTCCTCAACTCGGTGACAGAAGCTTAAGTCAAATGCAGACTAACTAGACAAAATCTAGACTAACCTCATACTAGTCACCGCTGTCTGTAGCGTGCATTCGACTCAATACAGTGACCCGAATCGTACATGCGGCGGAGCTTGCTTTTCGCTCTGACTGCTTTCATGCACTACTGTAATTTGAGTCGGTTGCGCCGTACATCTTCATTTGATTTTCTATGGGGTCGATAGGTGTCATCCCTGGCTTGCTGCGCGTCTGAACCGGCGGCATGCACTGAGTATCGTGCAGTGCATGAGCCAAAAGCCATGGCCCATGCGGCTCTTCGCGTGGCCGCGCGTGTCTACCCATGTGCAGGCGGCTTGTAACCTTTACAAGCTTGAAGATACAATTTAGACCATGCATGGCCGGGCACCGCTGGCTATCGCGCGAAAGCCAGGCCGGTTTGCATCATATCGTTGAGTGAAACTTACCAGCCGCGCGCGGTACATATACAGTCGGATCAAATCAATCATGCAAAGGCTGTCTCATTTCCATACGTAAGATTCACACTTGCTTGATATTCTTGTGCACGACGCGGTCATTTCCGATATGCATGAGTCCAGCATGGTCCAATCGACCGCAATAATTGATGGCCGGGCCGCATATCCGACCGTTATATATTCGTCCTCGATTCAGGGCGGCCTGAATCTCAGTATTTATGCTCGCGCACATGTTTATCTTCCATGACGGCCTAGACTCGGCCGGGGCAATCATGTATTTGCGGCCGCATCCGGCCAGGATAATCCTCGCGAGCAGGCTAGTACTTACCTCCGATATAATGAATGCGCACCATACCTCGCAATAGAGCTTGAAAGGCCGGGCTGTTAACTACGTAGCGCTGCATAAATCTCCGGGTCGACCTACTCATGAGCAGCATATATTCCACATGATTGGCTACCATATACTCAGAGCAGCTAGCTGCCAATCACCTCGTTCTCAATCTGTGATGGCGGGCTGATCCATACTAACTCGCTTTTACTTCGCCTCTTGACAAGACGCAATAGCATCGTTGGTTCGTAGAGAAATTTTGGCAGGGTGCTTGAGAAAATTTGTCTCGATTAAGGCAAAATTGATGCTGTCAACATTCTTTCATGCTTTCTTTGATGGGCAAGTTGACGACTTGGAGAGGCACCAATTGTTTTCGGCGATGACGTTTACCAGTCGCATTTCCGCCTGATCGAACCGTGTTTTGAGATTCCTCTACATCTGCCAATAAAGAGCTTCTAAAGCGGCCAAACTCGGCCGCCTGCCTAGGCATCCTTTGTTCGGGTTCAGAGGTTCGAAACGAGGCGCTAGAGTCGCTATTGTCAAAGAATGCTTCAAAGACTTTTAAGGCTGCATCATCCTCCCACCCAAAGTTCCAATCGAAAACGAGAACATCCTCAAACTGCAAGCATGGATCAGAGAGTCAGGTCGAAGCAATCTTAAGGCCTTCCATTCAACAAATTCCACCAGATTTTCATGCCTTCACGCTTACACAAATTTTGGCAACACTCTGCTTCAAGACCTGACTATCAAAGTCATGACTCTCGACGGCTTTTTGAAGGCGTCACCAAATGCGCGCACCCAGTACACTTGTCCTTGCGATCACAAAAGCCGGGATCGAATGCAGCAAAGCAAGAAGGCATGATGCCACTAGGTACTTCGATCCATGTTTCAGTCTTCAAATGGTGATTTTGAGCAGAAATTAAGCGCTCACCTCAGATCGTTTTCGCTTGAGGCGGTCACCATGTCGCTTCCGCTTGAAGCCCAGCCCCACCGTCGAACCTTTGCCCACTCCGTCTAAAACAGAATCTACGAACGGCAGGGTTGCTTCCCGGCTGCTCATGGTCTTCCCTTCTTCGGAAACCTCCACGTCTGCCCTTTCTAACAGTTCGGCTTTGCTGGCAACTGCCTCAAATGCTTCCAAACACAGCGCGGCTTCCTCTCCGCCTGGCCTGTCCTCTGCGACCGATGGTGTATTCGGGGGAACACAATCAGCCGTCGCCACAGCAATTGGCAAGGCTTCAGACGACTGACTTCCTATTGTGGCAGCATCGTACAAGGCCGTCAAGGCAGGTCTGGTGTCAGGCTCAGCGTCCGCTACCTCTGCAACCTCCTCCAGTACACTCGCTGCAGCACTGACCTCTCTCTGTACAGTTGACGCTCCTACCGGGGCGTTTTTTTCACCAGGAACCGACTTTTCCGGATCCCTGGCTTGTTTTGTCAGTGACTCCTCGTCACCATTTTCCCCTCGCTTTTCCCCTGGCTTTTGCATCCGACCCCCTTCTGGTTCTTTTGCCATTTCAGAGACATTCAACGGCGCTTCATTGGCTCTAGCATCACCTCTTTTGTGAGGGCCACTCGCTCCCTCTGGTGAAGCCTCCACAAAGTCTTGGGCGATCAAACCCTCCTCTTCTTGCTCCACGACTTTTACTGCAGCATCGACTTTTTCAAAGTCATGAAGTAGCTCGCGGGACTCGAGACGTAGTCTCCGCAGCAGTGTGTCCCTGACCTGGGCTAGCTCAACCCTGAGGTATCTAGATGATGCTTCTTGCCCAGGCTCCTTGGACAGTTCTGCCAGTTTGTCCGCCAGCCGCTCGTCCATAGTCCGTCGCTCAGAGAGCAGCTTGGCAATATCATCCTGGAAACGTAGCGTTTGCTGAAATCAGTGAGCGTCCGCCAGGCTTACTGCTTGGCAGGCCGTACAGAACAGGAACTGGAGTCTTGAAATCGTCAGAAAGATTTTAGTGCACACGCTAGTGACTCTTAGAACAGCCTCCATACTCTTCGTGGTCTTGAGTGGTCCAACAACACAACGTCCACCAACAAGATTCACAATATGTTCTGTACAGCCTCTACTTTTTTTTGGAGGAGCGGACACCTTGGACCCCACCTTGGACTCCACAATGATTGTGTTTATGGCTGAACGTTGTAAGTGTAAATGGATTTGGTTGTAAAGGCAATCTTTAAGATCCATCAGATTTTCTTGAGAGATTGCTCTTTACTGATCAGAGCGAGTCTCCATTCCCTTCCTATGGTTGCCAGTGCCATTGCGTCTCGGGCGTGTAGGAGCGAGACTTTCTCAACAAGGCCTCACATCAACTCAAAAGAACTGTTTACTCTGCGAAAGAAGAAGGTCCATCATTTAGTTTGCTCACTTGGCATTGGCGCAACATCTGAAGCTGGCCCTCAATTACGCCATGTTGATTGGCTGCATTCTGATTCAACCCATCTGGTTCCAATTCCCCCTGCGCAATGTTAGTGGCATCTTCTGCAACAACCTGGCCTACACATTTTTCACTGGCGCCCAGAAGGGCGTTAGCGTCATCCTCATGTTGGAGGCATATCCCCTCATCTTACACGACCTCAGTATGCGCGCTTTCATTCTGGAACTGGGAGCTACTGGAGCCTTCGTGATCGATCGAGGGCAATCCTTTCCATTTCCTGTCCAGCCACGCAACCACCAACCTTTTGCGCTCCTTGCCAACCGCTGTCACCACCTCAGCTCTTGCTGCATTGAAGCGAATACCTCGTCCTTTACATCATTGCAGATGCGCACGCACTGCAGACAGAGGTGATCTGCCAAGCGTTCAAAGTCTTGATCATTGCACTTGGTTTGTAACTCCCTGCTCACTTTGAGTGCTACACAGGCAATCTCAAAGTTCGGCGACTTAAGCAAGACAGCATTGAGCTTCTTGAGACCTGAGCGCTTCTCCTTTGTAAGGAGGCCATGTTGCCGCCTCCCTCCTGCCATGTTGCTCGTCTCCGAGCAAGCCGCCCTTGCCGAATACTCTCACATGGAGGCCAGGATCCCGCCAGGATACTTGGATAGTGCGATTAATAACACAAAGTTCTCTCGACGTTCAAATTCTTCGTCAATGCCAATGCCATGCCAGAGTTCCGTGCAAGGTCCAGGTCCAGGACCAGGATTGCCATACCTATACTAATAGGTAGTGGTCTCTAGCGAAATCAGTTGTCTCGCGCGCGATTGCTCGCGTGGAGCTTTCCCTTGCAGGCCGAAACTCATTGATTGATCTACGTGGCGCAATGAGATTGGTTCAGCATCCGCCGGCCGAACCTTGATGCCGGCCGGCATACGGTACGGTATCGCGAAGTGGAACTCACTGAGATTGGCTTGAGAAGCTCGACGATCATCTCCAGTGGCGCTTGTCTAAGATTATCATCGCAGCCAATGGAGCACAGCCCCGACGACGATTCATATTCCCAGCTGATGTTGCATCGAGCATCTTTCACCTACATCACACTCATTGGAGCTCGTGAATTCGCTTTCTAACTAAGATTATGGTAGGACGTAGCTACGTAGGCGCTGCACTTTTATGACTCACTTCCTGCACTTCACTGTCACGTAGCTGGAGATCATCAGTTGGACTGGCCACGTCGGCTTCTCGGGTTATGCTCGCCTTGCCTATCAACGTTTGCTGCGATCGAGTCCCGATCCAGCCGCCAACCCACCCATGAACGGTGATGCAAGCAGATTTTGAGGTTTCCACAATTAATCCTGCAATCGAGCATGATTCCATTCGGCCCGGTGTTTCAGAGAGTTACACTTGTACTTCGGAACTGCGGATGTGTTACTGTCTTCGCTGTAGTCCTAGTGAAAACAGCATTGCCGCGTGGTATTAAAAGTGCCACTTGCAGATGCAGCTGCGCCGGTGACGCCCGCTTCAGACAGGAGCCTGTGATTCAGTTTATTTCTGCATGATTCGCGCCACAGCTATCTACAATACTTTCAATAGTGCAAGTTGTAGCTGTAATTATAATTAGCAAGGCCTTTCAAGTTTACTGGGTTTGATTAAAGAGAAAGAGAAAAGCACACAGTGACAATGATTCAAACGAGGACGGCGAATCCTGTGTTTCTATTCTAATCACCACAATTCGATGTGGAAACAATCAAGACAAAGTGAGACGAAAATCCAGAACGAAGCTTGCTAGACCCCTGCCACTCCAGAGGGCTTGCTTCCAAACTTTGTGAAGGACAGCGGTTGGTATAGGGAGTATAAAGCGGGGAAGGTGCATTCAAGCAGTCAAAGAATGACCAGATTGAAGATGAGGCCCGATGACAGTGGACCCGAGGAGCAATCCAAAGGTTCGTTCTTTCTGCATTTCCGCAAGTGCGCTTGCTCGCTTACTGACACAAAATGCGCTCTTTTTATCGGGGTAGTCAAAAATGACTTATTGCCATCTTGATACACAAACTGCATCTGTACCTTTTAGAATTTTTTTTGGACATCTTGCAGCGTTCAACTTCTTGGCCATCTACTCTGTGGCGTTTCACCTCACGGAATGGTAGAGCGTCTGAAGTCCCATGCCTTCAGTACAGACTTGTGACGTTTGTGAGGGCCAGCCTGCACGTGCCACGGACAGCTTCCAGCTTGGCTTTTATTTGACCGAGCACTTGTTGCCAAATTATGCAGGGTCAACTGGCCCCAGCATCTGCCTTCCTCTGGAGCTCTACCAGGAGACGCTGGACTCCTTGCATTACGCTCTCAGGATGCAGGAGAGCCTGGAGTACCGGCTGCCAAGCAAGCACCAGCAGGCTGAGCTGCAGGAGAATATCGTGATGCTTCTCGAAAAGCTTGAGGAGTTTAGAAAGAAGGCAGAGACGCAAGAGGCATGCTCAAGCGAGGTGAGCCAGCTGGAAGAGGCCCTTGCCATCTTAGCAGTCTCCCAGGTAAACATTTCCAAGGGAGATTAGATCGGCGAAAAGAGCGATTAACTTGGCCAAACAGAGCTGTTCCGGACTGTCCAGGGCCTTTGGCGGAAGATATGTTTACTTGTAGTACCTCTATGAGAACGCCGAATGATTGTTCAAGCAGCCTAGCTGACTGCTTGAAGAGCCTATGGAATTCAATTAAAGCAGTCTGTACCTGGAAGGTTTGGCCTCCCGACATGAGAAACATGAGTTCGGCGCATCTTCATCAGCAAGCCAACGTATCGTACGTTGTGAAGTTTTGGACAATCCCATTCTATCAACCTATTAATCTGGAACTTATCCTCCGGTTAGCTGGAGGGTATTTCCGCAAGATACCATGAATCGGTTCAGATGATCAAACTTCGAGACTTAAGAACACGATTGCGAATGGCACGAATCTAACCTTGATGTCCGTTGGCGAACTTGCTTATAGAAGATTCGGAACCCCTGACAATCTTCGAGGGTCTAAGAAGCGCAACGAGTAGTCAAGCAGATAGTGCTTCGAGGTTCCAATATATTGGTCAGCGGCACTGACAAACAGCACGTTGCCAAACTCTTGCAGGTTTGGCAAGAGTCGGTCAGCAAAAGTGGACGTGAGGAGCCGTCCAACACTGAGGAATTATCGAGGACACCACAGGAAGACCGAAGTCACATTATTGTCGAGTTGAACGAAGCCATGCGGTTGCAAGCGGAGGAGCTGGAGCAGCTGAAGCTTCAACTGAGCATGACCACAAAGCTCTTTGAGCAATGTAAGGACATGCGAACGGATCCTGCGAGCTTGTCAAGGCTTCGAAACGCCTTCCTCTCCCTCCTTCATTGACGTACCCCAGACGAGGCATACAAGTCAGAGCGGCACCTCCGTATCTTTACTCAGCGAGCTACCATTGGCGACTCGGGTCGCGCACCACTTCTGATGCTGTGATGCAACGCCCGTAAACAATCACAGACGATCAGCGGTGTACGCTTCCACTGGGATACACCTAGAAAGCGAACATGTCTCCTCTCTCCGACGTTTCTCTGTTGAAGAACATCAATGAAAGCGCTACTTGAATGAGCGGAAGAAGCTTCTGTGAATGCGGTGGTTGTTCAAATAAGCGCCACTTTTGACAAGCTTCTCACCAATGATGTTCATTTTGCAGTGGGCGTCAACAATCTGTTGAACCTCCTCAGATCGGAAGATACGGACATCTGTAGAACAGCCACGAAGGCCTTGGCAAATCTGGCGGCACAAGGTGAGTCGTGCTTGTATCATGACCTCAGTGTTTTCGAAATCTGCCTCCTTGCTCTCGCGCTCATCTCACTGTTTGTAAGTCTAATCTGCCCTACTTCGTTACGTGCCCATGATAAGCAACAAAGCACTAACTGTGATTCGATAATGCAGAGAGCTTCCAAGAAGAAATAGTTCAAGTAGGAGGCCTCAAAGGGTTGTTCGACCTCTTTGAAAGGAGCGTGGACGAGATCACACACCGTCTAGCGGCAGGGGCGGTTGCAAACTTAGCAGTCAACGGTAAGCAGACAGACACATCTGTGCGATGCTGTCTTTCGATTCAGGGACTCCGATTTCCGCTCAGATTTCCACCTCCAGTGTTAAGGCAAACGTTTTGATTAGCGTCTCTTTATCCGCTTAGAGTCGCTGCCTCTGCATGAGGATAGAGTTTCTATCCTCAGTCTGTCAAGTTTGCTGGCCAGCCGTTGGGAAGTGCCAATGGCTTTTGTTGACTCCATTCTCAAAGCTGCAGAATCAAACCAGATAAAAATAGTCGAAGAGGGGGGCCTACCTACCCTTTGCGAATTGGGGCGAAGCTCAGCGGATCCGCAGACCCAAAAGATGGTTGCAGGAGCGATAGCCAACCTCTGTGGAAATGGTGAGGCGGCCCACGACTGATTGCAAATTCTGTAGAAGTCTTGCATCTATGTTCAGACCGCTCCGCTCATCGTCTCCTAATAAGTTCGCGTAGATAGAACCATTCTGCAGAAGCAAGGTCAGAGTTCCCAGTGGCCATCAAGGAATCAACAACATATTCCACAATCGCCATTGCAGCCGCTTTGAGGGACACGCTTATCGAGTCGGGCAGCATGCGGAAGTTCCTGTCTATGGCCGCAACTCGACAAGCGGCTGTTTTGGAGCAAGTAGCGCGGGGCATTGCCAATTTCGTCGTCAAAAGTAAGATCGTTCCACTTGTCTTGCACCAAATAGAAAGAGCATCTTTCTGCCAGCCACAACACTTACCGTGACTTGCTGACGCTGATGAAGCATAGACGACCTATCAAATGCCCTTTCGAGAGGCCGCGACGGCTCAAGTACTCAGGTCATCCTTTTCCGGATTCTGCAGACGATCAATTGGATGGATTTCTCAAGGAAGGCGGTCTTCGATACTTGATCCGGATGGCCACCTCAAGCAGCACTCCGGTGAAGAAGCACGTGGGCCTTGCGCTTTACAGCTTAGCACAAAAAGGTAGACCGGTATACCTGCTTCGTTTCCAGGCGGACTTGGTATCGACCCAAAATCCATGTTGACTCAGGATCATTTTCATCCAAGCTGACAATCTGAAACGATGTTGAAAGATCATGTGGCTTTTTCAGAATTCGTCGCTTCGACTGGAATCTGAGCTTCTTGGACGAAAATTGATGAACATTGTCAAGTGTACGATTAAATTCGGTAAAGAGAGCACCGATGTGTTGAGCCGTCAGTATTTATCCTGAGCTTTTTCGCAAAGCATATTCCTGGTTGCTGGTGGCAAAGAAATGCGATCATGGTTTAACGAACAAAGATCCTTGAGAGCTCTGGTTGATGCATTTCGAGATCGTTTGTTCCCCTCCCTGCAGAATTACCGGCAATGCAAATCGTGCAAGCATCTGGAGCGATCGAATTTTTGGTTGAATTGAAATTGCATGATGGAGACAGCATGCAGCGCATGGCCGAAAAGACTCTGGCCTGCCTCACGAAATTTGACGGTGAGCACTCCGGCATCAGAAGTCTTTGCTTAAAAGCTTTGTTTGCACCGATATATCAATCGAAGGAACGGCTTCTTCCAAAATCACTCGGTTTGAAGGAACATTTTCTGCAACCAATCCATGTGAGTTGAATGAATACAAGCGGACGCTATCATACAAGTCCTAAAAGGTACAGGGAAGCACCGTGCTGACAGGACACTTTTTCGTTCCGCAGACGGTGCGCAGAGACTCGTCGAAGCAGCCGAATCAAGGATGCGGAATGAAGCTAAGTCCTTATTTTCATCCTGAACGGAGCCGTCCAAAACGTACTTCGGGTCAAGTCGACAATAACTCCTGAGGTCCACACACAAGGAGATTGTGTGACGTTTCCTCAAAAGCTGAAAGAGTGGCGTCCAGCTTAGTCGGCTCTAACAGAAGCCTTAAGCGACAGGCTTGCGTCCAGAGCGCTAATCTTCAAGCAGCACTTTATGGTGCCCGGACATGCCTTAGCTCAAAAGACTCTTGCTCTTAAGCCCGGGCAAGTCCTTCTGCAATGACCCCGGTCACTATATCCGAGGCCTGCAAGTAGATAACAGCGCGCTTGAAGAGAAATCAGCAAGCTGCTAAGATCGGCTGGTACCTAAGGTTGATGGCCCATGCTCTAGTGACATCGTTGTATGCGAGGCCTAAGACGCTCGGCCCCCAGCATCTATGGATGTATCCCCGCTAGGTCAGTAATCATATAGCATCTGGCCTTTTCCAAAGCCGGTGCTTCTACATCATATCATGACCGTCATGTACCGCTATGCACTTAGAACCATCATACAAATTGCGTATTCTTCACTCAGACTCTGTGGCCGGCGTATTGGCAGCCCGACTTACAGTGACTGCTCGATGCTAATGCACATCTTCCACGCAGTCGTGAAATTTGGTTCTCGGGCCCCGTCATCTCAGCGAGATCACATGGGAATCTTTCTGCTCGACTTCGAAATCCGAAGTATCTCACCAGCTAACCCGCCGTAGACCTAGCACGCTGCTTTGATGCCCGGCGGGCGGCTTGCTACCATGATCCATCATTGAATGATTCCGTACCGTCGGATTTCCTATGGATACTTCTCTTAAAGCCCGTGCGTATCAAAGGCATGGGGCGTATCAGTATATCGAGAATGTGTCCAGGACGTACGGCCTAAAACGCCTTGCCGGCTGCCCAGGGGGGCCCCGGCGCGACCGTTCGCATTCCCCCAGCAAGTACTGCCCCTAGAGTTGTTGCATGTCTCTTCAATTTAGCAATAGTAAGCCATAGGAATAGTAAGCTCCGACACTAACACTAAAAACCTAACCTACAAAAACACCCGCTCCGCACCTGAACCCACCCTAACCCCCAAACTAACCCTACCCGTCCCAGGCTGGTGAGCTTACTATTGCTACAGCTTAATATTGCTAAATTGAAGATTCTTATTTGCAATCAGGTCCCAGGACAGGTTCCATCCGCCCGGAAGGTCAGGCCAGCTTTAATCGAGGAACGAACTTCGGAAGCTGGCCCGAACAGTTCCTCATCGGGGGACCGAAGCTGTGACTACCTGCGATAGTTGACGAAGCACTGGCAGATTGAGGCTTAAGATCAACAGCGAGCTGGTGTTGATCAGGATACTTACCCGCCTGAATCAGAAAGTAACTTCTTAGGTGCCAGTGCCAGATTACAGCGAGTCGGCAGCAGACCAAGTAGGTAGAACGTCCCAGATTTACCACTCCCAGATCTACCACCTCAAAGTCCGAGACCATGAAAAGATCACCCTAAACAGCGGATTTTTGCAGAGCGATCTAGCCGAACCTCTCAGATCCCTCTCGCTCCAGTACTTGGACCACATGAGGCGAGCCAGCTTCTCTGGAAGAGTCTGTTCCAAAGCCCCCCCATTCTTAGATTCCCTTGCCTAAGAGACGACGCTCGCAGCAGTGAACTAAGAACGATTCAAGTACATACATCATCCAGCGCTTCGGAATTATTTGGAGGAGAAGACTTCTTTTCGAGGGGTGTCTGCAGTGCATCTCCGTCGCTTTGAAGGCCATGGATCCGATCGAGAAGCCTGATGGCACCACATCTGTAAGACCAATGGCGCCCTCAACTATTGAGGATGAGACAATAGAAAGGACGCGCGAGTCGCTGGTTATGGTGCAGACTGAGGACCCGAGTCCAACAAGGCTTGAAGTCGATGCCACCGGCCTACTTACCATCACGGGTAACCCCTGCTACTCAGGAACCCAATTTTGCTATTTAGGGGTTGAGTAGCCTAAATTCGTTTCAGTAATATAGGCGGCCATGCTAGCTAGTCTGTCATCGCCTGTGGTGCTTGGTAAACAACGTTCCGGAGCCTCTGTGAAGAACATGTTAAAAACATTGAAGAAAGCCTTTGAAGGGGAAGTATGTATAGAGTGGCTTCTGGAAAAGTTCGGTCTCATCGTTGTTGAACTGATGCAACATGCCACCCAAAATCATACCTGCAATGCACAATGTTTACCTAACAGTCTTGAAAAGCTCAAGACTTTATGCGCCTGTCACATGCAGTATTGAAGGCGTCCTGTGATATTCCTGCTTGGCGAAGCGGGTCGACTCAGCCGAACCTTAAGCCGGTTGCGTGGAATAACTTGGGTGTGCTTGCTTCGTGCAGAGGTGAGGAAGACAATGACTCTCGTTGGTGTCAGTGGCATATTATACAGGGAGTTAGAGCTTGATAAGAAATATATGCTGAATTTAGTCAGACTCCCAAAACCTGGACCTGTCGTTCTAGTCCTGTGCATGTATTGGTAAGGTCACCTTCTAGGACAAGCACAATCCACAGTTGATTGCTGAAGCGAGACGTTAGCTGATGAGCGTGATGCGATGTTTGCAGTCATTACCAATGGCGTTCGCAAGCAGAGAGGGGAAACAAAACCAAAGCCAGTCCAAGGGCAAGAAGTAGAGTGGAATCAAGCACTCACAGTGTGAGTTTGTCTCTATGTGCTGCAAAGTCGTTGTGGTGTGTAGGAAAGGTAACATGCTGCATGAGTCTTCCTGTCGCTTCCTTTTGAGTGCCGTATACTACACGGTCGGATAAGAGTCTGGGATATATTTTGACAGCCAGATGATGGGAGCTGTTTTTTAAGCAGAAAAGCTGGATTACTTGACTCACAAGTTATTGACAACTCTCCACCTAAGCCACCAGACGACGATCGAAGTTTCCAGCGTCATTTCGCTTAAATGTGGTAGACGTTCTTTCGAGGTTGCAGACGAAAGACGAATTTGCCTGATCGGCAAATCTTTCTTCTTTAAACAGGCCTTTGTACAAAGGGGCAACACGACTTTCTCTGAAACTTTGTACGATGGATAACAAGCTAGGGCCATACCGAGTGTTCGCTAGTGCAGGTGAGCGAAGCAATGCATGAGAACGTCTTCATGCGGACAACCTCACCTCAAAACCATCCCGCTTTTTTGCATCATTCCCACCTTGCATACTGAATTGGGTGGTCATTATCTTCAATCCAAGACCTCGTTTTTCAATGACTAATTCGTATTGATGTATCTGTAGCCCTTTCGCTCGTCGACATCATGGCACACAAAGAGGCAATCCAAGGCAGCTTTGAAATTTACAATGAGGTAAGCCCTGTCCGACCTACAGTACGGCTCGGGATGAGACAAGCAAGCCTGAAGGAATGTCCACACGATTCAGATTGTTTTGCTCCGGAAATGCTTCGATTAAGGTTCTGTGGGTGCGAAAACAGAGCTAAGTACAGCCGGTCGTGCGCTTTAAAGCTCGAGCGATACAGTTTATCACTCTTCTTAGATAATCCTTGGCCTTTGACTTGTAGCTTGCTGCCAACAACGGGTGCATCGACCTCAGGTTCTCGTACACGCCCATCCTAAACAGCCCTACACCCATGAAGAGCGCAAGTGCACAACCGAAGACCGGGAGCAAAGGCAAGGCCACTGATCCACGCGAATCCACTCCTGTGTATCTCGACCCACACGGAAACTGATTGAAGCTGTCTCCACGAGAGCATGGATAGTCTAGAGAATTGACAACCTTGTGACATCAGCCGCAGTTTCATGACTCATGGCGTTGCAAAGACCGTCTCTGTGGACTTGCGAATGTGATAGTCTGGCAACTTCTGTCTTTACTAGAAAGTCAGTCGCTGGACCTTCTGTAGGCGTTGAGCTCAATGCACATGTCCCCTGGATTGACATCCCGCTCCTTAGCGTCTATTTCTTTGTTATGCAGCCGTTCGGCGCATCTCGGGAGCTAGCATGTTCTCCATGTTCTCGATACCCGGGAACGGAGCTGTCCGCAAGGGGCTCGCCGTCCAGCAGAGCTTCTTAGAGGACCTCTCCGCACCTGTGCCGATCAACCGCAAGGCCAGGCCTTCTTTTGAATCAGTAGCCTGGTCCGAGGCCTGGAATGCTGACGCAACAATGACGTATGATGACATCGAACGGGAAGAAGACCTCGAAGCAGCGGAACGGGCGCTGGAAGACCAAGACAACTCGGAGCGCAGTGCGTCGGAGATCGACTGGCCGCTCTGGGTGCGGAATGCGCTGCACGAGCCCGACGCGCCGAAGGTGCGCGAGCCGAATACGCCGGTGGTGCGCGAGCATGAAGTCAGCGGGCAGCGTCAGCCGATCGTACAGTCTGCGTACGAGCCCGAGAGGACTGTCAAGGAGGAACGCCCCTTGGAGCGTACTGCAGCCGTCGAGAAGGGGAGCACGGAGGAAGCGCACGAGACCGTGCCTGAAAAGGTGGGCTGACTGGGCAGGTGCCTTTTTAAGCGTGTTTTACTTGCGAGGTCGCAAGGAAATGATCGCTTTTCTGGGTCTTTGGTACAATTCGTGTCTTGGGCGCGCGTTCGGGAACGAATCAGAGATTTTAGGCAAAAAGAGGGCTCAACCATCCTCGCCAAACCTGTCGGCGTATCCATTTTTCAAAGGAGAACTCTATATAGGATCATTGAAATGGAATAAACGCAGTTCGCTCTGTGGAAGGCCGACCGCGATCTTAATCGTCGCTTTTCGATTGACAAAGCCAAGTGAAAGTAGCTACTCCGCTTATTGCAGGCACAGTCTCAGGTCCCGCTTCTGGCAATCGCTGCGAGCGTCGGGACGTGTGTGGCCGCCATTGCTGTGCGGTACCTGACAGCTGCGTCGCCGGCAAAGTGCCTTGAGCTCAAGAGGGAGGGCAAGGTGTGCAGGCGCGGAATATTCTCGTGAATTTCTTCGGGTCCGGGAGGCTGGATAAGAATAGGATAGAAACTTGAGCTTCAGCCTAGACAGGAGGACAGGTTATCGTTCGATCAGGCTGTAGGGTACTTTGTAGAGGCTAGGGACAGTAGGGACATAAACCAGGACGAAAAAGTACTGAGACTAAGTGGCTTTCGGCCTTAATTGTTAAACCTTGAGCTCCGAGCGTCCTTTCTGATCATGGGCCTCGAACGGTGGCCCAGACTTGCAACCCACGCACCGTGAATCCTACGAGGTTGGATGAAACACAAGGTATAACTGATGAGAGCCACTCGGTGTTAGGCGCACCTATAGATTGATCTCGACGCATGTGCTCATTCTCCGGGCACCAGGTACGTGCAAATGTCGATGCTTTACATGAACGGTGGATATATGTCTTTGAAATACTTGAATCGAAAACCGTCTGTAGATGTTGATTTGGTAAATCCCTGGATGTGGACGCTGCCCGCGGCCGCGGGCGCCGCTTGCATGTCAGTTGTATCGCATGCGCTGTTAAGTGTGTACGTACTAGTGCCATACGTAGAATTATGCTGGCTAGCTCAAAAGAAAGCACATATTCCTAGACGTACTCTGTATGCACACAACCATGATGCTTGCGAGCTTTATAGCGTAACATCATGCTCACATGGGATCATGCGCTTGCCAAATGTGTACTAAGCACGACGGTGGACTCACTGCACCACATAAGATTCCATCCGTCACGTGCTCTGGAAGTCAGATTGTTCGTGGATTGCTAGTGCGACCCCCACAGCTACACTGCGGCGCAGAGCTCTGAATCCAAGGTGATGAAGATCACGTGCAGCTAGTGAAGTGACCGCTACGTTTTCAGAGCTTAGGTTGAGTGACTGACAGGAACAGTTATAGACCAAAAACCCATGACAACCCTTGGAAACCAGAAACCTGAAGTTGGCTCACTGTATATGTACGTCAATTAGGACTGAGAGAACCGGGCCGGGCTGTCTGTACAACGTATGTAGCGAGAGGCGCTACTCCTACTTGAAGCTCTCACCGTGCTATAGCGCGAATCCAGACCGTAATATGAACGGACTGCCTTGCACTGCACTCGTAAAGCACAACCTGAACGAGGAGCACATGACATGGCGCTTGCCGTGACAATCGTTTTGACTGCATAAAGTGGCATGCTGATAGTTTGCAAGTACGTCGCATACTCCAACAAGAATATACTTTGGGCACACCTTCTCAACAGCATGCTTCCGTTCAACTCAGATGGTCCCTGCATGAAGACAAAGCAAAGTGTCCTGTCAACTTCGACACCGTACTCTCGAAAGCAGGTCCAACCCTAATCGTGCGCCTCCAGTACGAAGTGGTCACAAGCCTTGAAGGTTTTTCCGACTTAAAGATATGCAGTCAGCGAAGCACTTCAAGTATATTGAACTAGCATCAGCACGTCTTAACATTTACACACAGTCACCTGGTAACTCAAGCTGAAGATGGATAATGATCGGTCACCTGAGCGTTCGCTGTGTTCCCTTTCGGACGCTGCACAGTATGGTGGGCTTGCCGAGAAGAAGATGCGCCTCGAACCGATGGCAACCCGAGAAGCCTGTAAGCAGCAGTTGCAGACCGCTTGAGACAAGCAGACCTAGCAAGGCCAACAGCACGCACTGGCAAGCAAAATGAACATGGTAATGATCCGCAGGAAGAGAAAAGAGAATTTGTTATCCCTGCTTCTGATACACTGATGTCTTCGAACCCAACTGCTTCGTATTGACAGTTGAAGAAGTCCAAGCCAGTTGGCGAAGGTATGCAGAAAGCGCGGACCGTCCTTCCAGAAGTATGGCTACTCTGAGACGTCTGAGTTCAACGATTGAGTATAAAAGGGCTGAGCGCTTACCATAGTACTGCCCGTCTACTTCGATCACGTCTATCTGCGAAGAAGACCCCACAGTCAGCATCAAACCAAATTGCAAGACATTGTGAGAGCCCTGTAGGATACTCCAGGGATGTGCGAGCGTTACAAAGACAGGACGGACGAGATGTATACAGTCTTCCTATGGTAGCTCTGGTCTTCCAAATAGTAAGCAACAGCGCTTTTAGAAAAAAAATAGAACTTCGAAACTCCTCCAGAAACTCCGTTGCGCGCTTTCAGCATCTCAACCTCCGCAGAACCCACGGCTTACTTAAGAAACTGGCACGGAAACGAAGGCTGCAAATTTGAGACAGGAAGCCCCTACTGTTGCAGGCCTGCCTAACGAAGCACTGAAACGTAGCTCAACCCAGTCGGTTTTTGGTGACGTCCTTCTGAGAAGCGAAGCAGGAGCTTCGAGAGCCAAATCAAGCCATGAAATCAGAACGATTTGACCAACTTTCAGATTGACTAGTGCTTGCATTCCAAAACCACCTAAAGATGACAGGTCTGGATCATTACCCGCAAAAAGAACTAGGTCCTCATGTCCCTTAACGATCTAGATGCGCTGTGCAATCGGCAGACCGTAGCTAGCTCACCGGTTCCTGGAGGCCAATCTCCGCAATGCTGTCCGCTAACCCTTGAACTTTTTCTTGGTCATATTTTCGGGTCTTCTGAAGCGGCCGGATGATGTATTCAATTGGCAACTCCATGATCTCAATTCGTAATCCTGACATTAGAAACCAAGCATGGGCTTCAGGCGAGTGCCTGTCGGTTGCGGTCTCGGAGATCTAAACTTGAGGCTGCTGAAAAGGAGTCACGTCGGTGGACTGGCTGACTTTCAGGAAGCAGCCTTCACATGGTGGCGGCCACCGGGCCGCCTCGCAAAGTAGGAGCCAATCATCTCATTTTCGTTAAACAGAGATTCTGCCCCGCAAAAGTCCGGCAGATTGTCAGAAAAACGGAGCCGGAATGACATAGACGCGACGGCATGCGGACAAAAGCAGATAGCGGAGATCACACGCTAGCAGACTTTGGGGCTGCGCAACGGCGTAGGAGCCAAACAACAGTGGCCGGAACTGGAACAACAGAAGCTACGACGGCCGTAACCCACAGGCACCAGCACCCACAGAACTAACCACCAATTTCAACGAAGGTAAGAGTGCATTGCTTCCAAGCCCCTCACTTTTCAAGTGGCAATATTGACTGTGGCCTTTACCCCCAGCTTTTGCTCAACAAGAGCAAAACTGTGTTATAAGGGCTTGTCATTTTTCCAGAGAAAGGGTAGGATTGTGCCCACTTCTTCAAAGCTCTCTTCAGACAACAATTCTGAACTGGAAGTTACTTCGATCACTTTCCGCCATTGATTCTGAATGTCATTCGAATTTTGAGTGGGCCCCAAACTGATTTCAAAGGTGCTAAACACTCTTCTCAAGCCACTAGGTCTGATCCTAACTCGTGACCTCACCAGGATGCAACGTTAGAAACAAGGCGCATCCCATATGCTGTAGTACTCAAGCAGTGGTTGCAGATATAGAAGTCAAAAAAGTGATGCAGCGGAACGCTACCACTTGACTAGCAGAAGTCAGGCAGCTTCAGAAGCTGACAGAGAGGCCCTACGTGGTATCCGCTTGTATCGTACTGACGAAGGAGCTCCGTCGGCCTCTCCATCTGCAGCACAGGTGACGACACTAACTCTGGCCTTCTGGAAACACACCACGCTAAAATTCTCACTCCAACTTGAACGAGATCTGATCCAGTTTAGGTGGTGGTATAGTGGATACTGCTTGTGTGCAGAGCTTGGAGATAGGGAGCAGAATCCTGTGTGCTGTATGCATGTACTGCTGCGACAGCCAATCTCTGTTTGGGGGTGGGGATTGCCATAAGTAATCAGCTGAGTTTCCACTCTCTTAGTACCATATCCGCAAGGCATTGATTGAGTCCCCATCAATCTGCCACTTATAGCGCTCAGCCCTAATTCTGTTCTTGCGCAATGCTAACAACTTGACTATTGTTCTGTCCAGCGTTTACCGCTTTGTAGAATTATTGAAGCATACTACAAGCCCGCATCCAATGTCACCCGAGCTTCGCTGTTCTTACTGCTTTCAAGCAATCCAGTTTCTGCTGCGTCCCGCAACTCTCATCAGTTTAGACCATCACGATCTCTGGTTCAATTGCTGGAATGAAATGCTGCCCTCTGCAAGCTCTGGTCATACGGTACACGATCCTGAAGTTGAGCACGCTTCTGCGCAAGATTTTTGCGGCCACCATTTCTGGAGCTCATGGCGCTAAGAACTAGCTGTGGCCACGATCTGAGACCGAAGGTAAGTTGGTTGGCCAGGAGGAATGACAGCTAAATTGGACGGTTCGATTTGGCGCAACAAATTCGACAAAGTTATATACAGTTACCTTGACCGTGAGATAAGGAGTGGTTCAATTGATCGGACGGTGTGATCAGTACTTCGGTAGGCAGGCTTACATACATAACCCAACGTGCGTGCAAACCGTTTTGAGGGTTTGGGTCATACATGGTTTTGAGTCGGGGACTTCAATCCTTCAACTTCAAGTACCTATCCTAAGATACAGTAGACAGAGCAGATCACAGAGGACCGAGTACTGATATGGATGGCCACTGTGCATCTAAATCTGTTGATCTTCAGCAAAGGTCCTGTAGGTTTGCGTCGCTAGGTACATATTAGGTAGCCAAACAAATGTACCTAGGTATGCTAAATTTGCAGATATATAGTTAGGTGTAAAGTTCATGGAAGTATTAAGGCGAACAGACGGAAAAGCTGCAAGAGATCCTCCCACGATGCAGCATATGTCCGCCAGGTTGCTGCTGATTGATCGGAGATCTTAGCAATCTGTACGCATAAGTAAAATGGAGCGCATGTTGAGGGTGTCAGAGTCACCCTTTCTGGACCTCACTTACTTATAGGGTAACAACAGCTAAGTTCACGATGTCAGGGACTCAATGTCAGAGCCCGTCCCTGGAATGATCCATCATCCACTAGCTACCTGCTTAGCTAGAGCGAGGACTGTGATCGCAGATATATTGCCTGGTTTGCTAATTGCTCCCATTTTACCTACATGCAGAGCTGGTTTCGGACTTTAGGAAGTCTCGGTTCAGCCATAGATCCAATCAACCTGAACTCTACTTAGATCTTTCAATCCTTCTCAGTACAGACGACCAGCAGACCATTTTCTGTCGAAAGAAAGGGTTCCTTAGTCCCAGCTGCATAGGCGCGAGCTGGGTAGAACGCCGTTCTGCGCATCCTGTTGAAGCTACTCTAAGGTTCCCTTGCAGTGCCTCGTACAGCAGTGAAGTTTAGCATTTCTCTTCGATGAAGAGCGGAAAGTACGACCCTAAAGGTGCCCAACCAGTAGCCTCAGAAGCCCCAATTTATTTATGGTAGATATGGCAGACAAGGACAGGCATGATGCACAACGTTGCATTGTAGGCAGTGTTTTTTAGCGAAGAAAGTACTGTGCAGAAGCTTGCAACGACAAAGATTGTATCAGACAGATTACCATAGAAAGAGACGAATTACCAAAAAAGAGAGCGCGCTACTTACTTTCAACAGGCAGCCATGCCGTCATTTGTGGCGCCCGAGAACATAGCCATCCCCCCAGTCGATGAAACTGAAACAAGAGAGCAGAATGGGGCTACGGCGCCAGTCACCCCCCGCTCGCCGCAGTGGGCGGCGGAGGAGGTGCTGGTTGAAGGCAAGATGCACAAGAAGCATGTGAGTAGCTCTTTTTAGTGGATTCCGAGCTAATTAAGGGGTGGTCTTAGTGGGGTGCGCAGTAACTGGAGAAGGACTCCGGTAACCTGTGGTTATTGAAGAAAGGTATTAATCACAGGGTTGGCGAAGAGTGAGCAAACAAACCTCTAATGGAGCTGGTTCGAAACCATGTGTCCTGCTGCAAAGATAGCAGGGCAACTGTACTTGAGTATTGAACCCAGCAGTCAGACCCGGTTTGCCTACAAGACACCACATTTTGCTGTGGTGTCTCTCAGCACCGAACGTTCAAGCGAAGCTTATGTCAAAGAGCTGCGTGCATACTCTGAAAGGCGGCTCTACAGTCAAAAGCCACCTGATATCAACTGGACTGTGAATTCGCCATTCAAGGCAACGGTTTCGCTCTGGTAAAACTGCATGCGCAATTTGTCTTCGCTTGACAAACATGAAGCCATCCTCTCCTCGCAGAAAGCTCTGTCAACGAGTGCGGTCCTGCTCCTTGCATGGCAAAGTCTGGGCGTTGTCTACGGGGACCTGGGGACCTCATGTGAGCGCTCGAAGTCTTTCGTGGACGGAAAACACCAGCCTCAAAAACGACAAAAGTCTTTAGAATTGAAGGCTCTTGTGCTGTTGGACATTTCAACTCTCAGCGCAAGCTCTACTCGGAATGATCTTCGCACCTAGGGAGCTGAGGTTACCAAGCCGTTCCTTTCTTTTTAGCGTCTGCAGAACTTCAAAAATGATCAGAAGCTGATAATACCATCTGTCGCCGCAACTGACGCAAGGAAAGCAGCCCAGGTTCAAACTCATTTCAATGGCAAATATAAGCTAAGAGAGAGCATGGATTGCCTGTTGGATGCTAACGGTAGTGTTCGAATGGAGTAGGCTTGCGGCAGCTTCAGGACGAACTGGATTGTAAGAAGAAGCAGAATTATCACGTGGCCAGTGAGCAAAGACCATGCCACGTGCGCTGGGCAAAACCGCCAGTACTTCGACGCTTCGACAGACCAGTCAAAGACGAGCTGATTGGCCAACGATGCACGCAGGTCTCTACGTGTACTCAAACACGTTTCACAGCCCCCCCAGCCATCAAGACCTCCTAGGCGCGGCGTGTATCATCTTCTGGACGCTGACGTCCATCGCCCTTGTGAAGTACGTCATGATTGTTCTGCACGCGGACGACGACGGGGAAGGTGAGCCAAAAATAAAACTCAAGAAAGATGATAGTAAGCCAAGACAATATCAAGCTCCGACTAACCTTAAACTCCCTAACCCAAAAATACCCGCTCCGCACTCGCACCCACCCTAACCACCAAACTAACCCTACCCGTCCCAGTGCGGTTACCTTACTATTATCTCGGCTTACCATTGATATTTTTGAGTTTAATGAGCCAAAGGGCCCCGCAAGTTACACGAAGCCTTATTGGAGCGTAAACCTAACCTAGTCACAGCCAATGGAGCACTCTTTTTGAGCGGGTTTAGACAAGTTTTGCTCAAAAACAGTTTCTTCAAGTCTCCAAAAAGTGAGCTCTCGAAAGGTGGTCAGGTCGGGACTCAGAGTGCCTAAAGTACAAGTGTAGAAACAACGGCAGAAAGGTTGCAGATTTTGATCCCTCTCCTTCACCCACTGATTGACGGGAAGCGCCGATCTATGAGCACGGGAGCTTTCGTTGTTGATGTTAGAATGTTAATCACTTATCCCCAGGACGGACATGCAATCGTAGCGGTTCACTTCTGCTCGAAATTGCAGAGTAAAATCTCGAGGAGGAAACGTTGCACTGCCGGAAATGCTAATCAAAAGTCTCTTCAGCGCATTTGGTCACGACGTGTCTCGCGATCCTCTCGGCCAGGTAGATCTACCATCTGACGTCAGCGCTGACGTCGCTTGCAGGCGGCACCTTTGCAATGTACAGCTTGCTGTGCCGGCACGCGCGCATCAGCCTGCTGGAGACGGCCAAGCTCAACGTCACCGCCAAGCCGCGCCTGACGCGCGCACAGAGCAGCAAGGTCAGCGCGCGCGGGGTGGTCAGGGGACTGCTCGAGGGGAACAAGTCACTGCAGAAGGCTCTAATGGTCTTCGTTCTCATGGGTACGTCACCGATCTTGGTTTACTGCACCATTACGACACTCGAGAGTTGAGATGTGTTGATCAGTGCAAAGCTAAGGTCGCCCCGGTGTGAATGATGATACCCGATTGCTCTTACAAGCGGCGAAACAGAGAGGGGTGAAAGAGAAAAGTGGGCTCTGTGAATTCTCTGCCTTTGAAGCTCGTAGGGCAATCGCGTATAAGTAAACGGAAACCTCCTTGATTGTCAAGTTCATGTCAATCCCTGTCCAAAGATTCAAATTTGTACTTCGCAGATAAGAGCGTAGACTTTTCGAGCTCCAGTCACTTCTGAAAACGCTTTCGCTTCCACTCACGCTGCATCTCCTCACAAGTATCGCTCGTCTCCGTCAGGCACGTGTATGGTGATTGGGGACGGAATCCTGACGCCGGCCATCTCCGTACTATCGGCGGTGGAGGGTATCCATGTCGGTTACTCCGGCCTCTCAAGAAGTAAGGCCCGTTCTAGTTTCTCGGGACCCGTCAGCAAGGGTTGCCCATTCTTGCTTGATTGGAGCTTTCAATTTACCGTTGTGGAGTGTTACCGTCACATAACAGGACCTTCGTCTCTCAATGACTTTCGGAGATAATTTTGAAATTAGCATCTAAATCAAGTCTTATGGCTTTTCAGCATAAAATGCGTGGCTTGGGTACACTTCGCACGTTCTCAGGCGTTCTACAGAGTGCTTGATGCAACCAGTCTCAGGCCGATAAAGCGGACGAGGCTGATCAGGCGGCAAGCAGACTTTATCGAAGTCGCATTTTCCCCTGGGCCCTCTTAGATTGGGATAATCATGCCCCGCGGATGTTCGCAGCCGCTAAGTTCGCCACCCCTGCAGCAAAGGGTCTGCTTTGTCTCTCCTATTCTGCCCAGTGTGCTTAAGAGTAGAGATTGTGCACTTAGCTGGAACGCCTTTACAGATCGAATCTCAGAAAGTCTTCCCACTTGAGGTGCAATCGTCCTGACGAGCACCTCACAAACCAAACTCCCTTTCTCCAGGCGCGATCGTGGGCATCACGTGCGCGATCCTGATCGCGCTCTTCCTGTGCCAGCACAAGGGCACCGGCCGCGTCGGCAACTGGTTCGCGCCCGTCATCGGGATTTGGCTGGTCGCCAATCTCTGCATCAACCTGTACAATATTTCCAAGCACCACCCGGGCATGTTCCGGTGCATAAATCCGTGGCACGGATTGGATTACTTCATACGGAACGGAAAGACGGCCTGGGTGTCGCTCGGGGGGCTGGTGCTGTGCATCACCGGAACGGAGGCCATGTTTGCGGACTTAGGACATTTTCCGCGGCAAGCGATCCAGGTGAAATTACTCGTAACATCTCTCGTGAACTTTGAGCTTTGCAGAGGAGACACGTTTAGATCCTGCGCTTGAGTACAGATGCTTAAGCCTCTCCAGGATGCACCAAGTTTTGACCAGGATTGCTTGCTCACTGTCATGAATACCATTCCAAGGCCGGCTCGCGATAGCAGTTTCGCAGAGAGATTGGATTGAGGGCCCCACTTCGGGACCTGCTGACGTCACAACCAGCCGCACTTTCGTACCGCTGACGTCACACTTTGCGGCGCAGATGGGCTTCCTGCTGATCGGCTACCCGAGCCTGGTCATCACCTACATCGGCCAGGCCGCCTACTTATGGCAGCACCCCGAGAACTACGCATCCACGTTCTACAGCTCCGTCCCGGGCCCCATTTTCTGGCCCATGTTCGTTCTCGCGACTCTAGCCACTATTGTCGCGAGCCAAGCCATGATCAGCGGGGCCTTTTCCATCATAAAGCAGAGCATGTCGCTCAGCTGCTTCCCAAAAGTTAGAATAATTCACACGTCCAAGACGATGGAGGGCCAGATTTATATCCCGGAGATCAACTACGTGTTCATGGTGCTGACAATCGCGGTCGTGGTGGGGTTTCAGGACAGCACGCAGATCGGGAACGCGTACGGTGAGTTGCTGGGCTTTCGTGTTTCTGCAAAGATTTTCGGTTGGTGCTTGCAGCAATAACGGTGGCTTCGAGTCGGCTTTGAAACTTTCAATCTATCTTGTCGTGGTTGCTTCATCCCGGCTTGTCTTTTGCCTACTTTGCGTCGCAGTTTCGGTCGAGGTATCATTTCCCGGAACTTATCTCAGATTGCATCAGGATGTCCGCTTCAATAGCTGCTCTCGTCAGATTTCAAAACTTTAATCAAGCCGTCAGAGAAACCAGGGTCTCAGCTTGTCCGGACTTTCCTCTTGCCACTCGGCCTTCGCCAAAAAATTCAAATCTTTCCCGTTCCTCACCGCACTCGTAACATGAAGCCCTTCTCACGCCTCTGCTGCTGTTCCAAGCTTGAAGCGCACCGCTGACGTCACGTCCCCACGGGCGTGACCGTACTGTCCGCGATGCCCATTACGACGTTCCTTCTTGGGAGTCGAAGAGTCAAGTTCCCCTCTCGCTTTCAAAAGCATCCGGACACGCTCCACTAACCTCGCTCTTCCGTATGCGTGTCCTGATGTCAGCTGTGCTCGTCTCACAACGTGCCTCGTGTACACTCAAACCGCCGGATCGACTCTCCTCCTGCTGACGCATCCCTGACGCCCTCCGCTGACGTCACCCCCGTCCGCAGGCGTGTCCGTGATGTCCGTCATGCTCATCACGACGTTCCTCATGAGCCTGGTCATGCTCATGGTGTGGCGCCTCCCGCCGTGGCTGCCGGCCCTGTTTTTCGCGGTGTTCGGCTTCATCGAGGCAATTTACCTGTCTTCCACGCTCTACAAGATCGCCAACGGGGCCTGGTTCCCGGTGCTGCTCTCCGGGCTGCTACTGGTCATCATGTACGCGTGGTACTACGGCTCCAGCCGCAAGAGCCTCTTCGACCAGAAGAACATGGTCAACGCGCAGGGCCTCACGGTGAGCGCGCGCGCGGAAGAACGCGGCCGCGGCCGCGGTCCTCGCGGAGTTACTGTGAAAGGACGGCGAATTCTCTGTTGCGCAGACGAATGAAGAAGGGCGAAAACTGAGTCGGGAGTGATAATGGGCTATTCAGAACCCGGTCTGGGCTCGCTTTTGTACCCTTCTAGATAAGCTTGCAGAGACCTGATTGAAGGCCCGAACAAGTGAGTCTCGCATTCTCTCCCCTGACACAAACGGCAGAAGTCCGTCCGATGATGTCGGACTCACGGCGGGGTTCTCGTTGACATTCTGCTGTAGAGGAGCGCTTTTTTATGACAGCCAATCTAAGAGTTTCCTTTTGCTGAGGTGAGTACAAGCACAGTACTCATTCATCTTCACTTCTCAATCTCTTTCTTGTGCAACATTGAGCAGCAATCGATCTGAGCAGCCCACTAGACACTCACAACCGAGCGCTCTCTTTATCGCAGGAATTCTTGGCGAACATGCCGGTGACACGTGTCCCAGGCGTCGGGCTCTTTTACAGCGACACGGCGCACGGCGTGCCCCCGGTATTCACACACTTCATCACGCACCTCCCCGCCGTGCCTGAGGTGAGTGTGAACATACTCGTAGAATTTCCATTTCGTGGACGTGATTCAAGCACTTATTTGGAGATCAGTCCGCGCGCTGCAACGGAAATATTGCTGGTTCGCCATTCAGTCGTGTCCTCAACTCACTTTCTTGGAGCTCGTGCGCTTCTGCCCGATTGTACCACTGCTCATTCCACCAGCCAATGTCAAACACCTGCGGAAAAATACAGAAACACTCCTGCCCATATCTACTGAAACCCGCCTGCGTTCAAAATGCAGGTTCTCATCTTCATGAACATTCGTCACGAACCGGTCCCCCGCCTGGAAGACGAGGACCGGCTGCTCGTGAAGCCGTTCGGCATCAAGGGCTACTACCGCTGCGTCGTGCGGTACGGCTATCAGGAGTCCGTTCGACAGGTACGCTATGCGCGCGGCAGCCATTGTGTCGCAACTTCTTTCGTCATATTAAATATTGCGAGGAAAGCCTCTTCCCCAGCAGGGGCACCGAGGAGTATGATTGCGGAATGCTCGGGCAACTTAAACTTGCACCCAAGATGTTGCACGGCCAGTCTGCAACTCACGAGGTGCGAAAACCGAGAACATCGACGATATACTATACTCCCAGGTTATTGTTACAAGTATTGAACATTCCGTCGAAAATAAGATCTTGGGTTTACAGGTTAAGGGGCCCGAGAAGGAGTCGGAGGCCCTTACAGAGCCCGGTCGAATGCAGGGACAACATGCTGCAGCGCCGGGTGCATTCGTTGGTCAATATGGCCCTTGATCAGCACGATATCCACAGGTTATTTGAAAGTCTTCGAAACGTCAGCCCCCTCCTTGAGTGAAGCACTAGAGAGGTACGTGAAAGCTGAAGAGTGAATTGCATATTAACAGTGGACTGTAATCTTCAGGGCGAGGAATTTACGACCCAGCTGCTGAACAAGATCATTGAAGTCACACGATTCGAGCTAGGCGACTCGGGCCCCGTGGACGCGAGCCCGGAGTCGCCCCGTCTTGAGGCCTCGTTGTCTTCATCCCCACTGGTATCCAGCGCGCCAGTCAAGCTTGCACCCGGTAAAAGTTTCATTGCTGGACCAAGAGGTGAGGCGTCCTGAAAAGCCCAACCGTGAACCCCTGAGAAGGGACGGCTGTGATTTGCACTGGTTTCCTGTTCAATTGTAACCTTTTCTGGAAGACGTATTTTTTGGCATTCAAATCAATTGAAACCCGTTTAGAAGGGCGTTGAAGAAATGCAAGGCTTCAAGAACAGAAGCGCAGGAAATGCTCGGGCATGGTGTCAGGTGGATGAAAGACTTGGCGTTCTCTGCTCTTGAATATACGTTTCGGGTTATTGAGCAAGCAAAGAGTGGAGTCGATGTTTTCACCTTTACTTCAAATCAGCCGTAGTCATGTTCATATGAGGGTGCTCTAAAGCACTCGCATTCAAATGAAGTAGAGGCTGTGCAGTACGAGAGGCTTCACTGAAGCAGGCAACTTTTAAGTACGGTTATCCCGCTCATGATCGGAAGTGGACCGCACGTCCACTAATTTCCTTCAGCCTGGCTTGATTGTATATACAGGTCCGGCACTCTTCCAAGCCATTCTTTGCAGCTCAGCTTTCGCCCACCCTCTTCGAACTGATGCGACGGAGACATTTAAGCGCCCACGTAGATTCTGAAATATCTTTCATCTTGAATCCGAAATGGGACAATTGAGACCAGAAGCTTCTTGGGCACTTCGATTTGGGGTCGCATTGGTCAGAAAGAGCCACGCTGAGCATATGCGGTATTGATCGACTTCGATTCCGTTTCGTTTTCCAGAGCGCGCGCAAGTCGAAGAAGACCTCGCTCTTCTTGAGCAAGCGCGCAGCGGGGGCATTGTCTACGTATTGGGCCGCAGCGTGATCCACGTGTCGCCCTCCGCGTGGGTCGGCAAGCGGTGGACATTATACTTGTACGCGGGGCTCAAGGCAATCAGCCGTTCTACGACGCAGAACTACCAGATTCCCCACTCTAAGCTCATTGAAGTGGGGATGATCTACGATGTCTAGCAGCTCGCTCTGTACCTTGCACGCCTTTGAAGTGAGGGACTCCAGTGTCGATTCAGTCACGATGACTGGGGGCTGTAGAGATTGATCGTGAGCAGCTTTTCGAAGGGGTCAATGCAACGCCGCTTGCCTACATCTACTACCTTCATGTATGACAGAGATCATCCTCGTAGGAGCAAGTGTGTAACACATCAGCTAAAGTTAAGATTTCAGCTAAAGTTAACCATTGACTTCGTCGGTTCTCTAAGTACCCATGCAAAAGAGCTGAGTATGGCCTTCCATGATTAAAAGGATTGTAGTTAGGGGATGCTGTCTCGTCTAAAGCATAGCAAGCGACGTGACAGGCACGTTCAGCAATCACGAGTGCGGCTTAGGAGCTGTTTGAAAGTTAACCCCGGCTGTAAGTTCCCCGTTTGAAACAGACCAGGTCAATAACCAGCTTCCAATGTGGTTAGCACGATAGTGCGGTCAAAGTCAGCAATCTGACAAAAAAGAAAACGGTATCTGCTAAGAGAAAAATCGCAACGGCCGACAACGGCCCGCGTCTTACGATCCGCGAAAGGTCGCACATGGTGTGGCAAGCTTCCAACGCAGAAACAAGAGTAGCCTTGACAAGTTATAAATACCATGCATGACACAGAACGACTACACATCGTTTCAGCAAGTCGGGCGCCCTTGAGCGGTCTTCTTTGACTACACGCTGCAACAGGTACAGTACAAACTTCAAGCATGCAGGCCAGTGGGGGCCCTAGCTTAACCGTCAGAGTCTGCAATCCTTTGGAAACAAGGCTGCCTCTCAAGGTTGGACTCTGGACGTGCTAAGTAGGGCTGCGAAAATTCCGACTAGACTAGCCTTGCAAACGGCTATATACTCACCATGCCATGAATAGTACATGAAACGGATGATGGCGGCTCGTGCGTCTCTTGCCGCTCTCGTCTGTCAGGCAACCGATTGTCGGTGCTGCATAGCCTCGAGAATACGTGAGCGCCACGTCAGCGCTGTGCATACCAGGCATGAGTGCCCAGTTAGCGCT